CATACAATTTTGCGTGATAAATAGTTATGAGTGATTTCTTTATAATTTCAATACCTATTTATTTTCTGTTATAATTTTTGCATCTTTTTAATGCATAAATATTCATTTTATTTAATAAATAATATGTCAATATATCGCATTAAAATATAAATAGCTAATTTATATATATGCCTGTATACGATTAGTACTTTAATGCTTTGATATTGGTAGTCTGATTTAAAAATTTCTATGTCTATATGAAAGAAATGTTTTCAAATTTCATACTCTGACTTCAGCCAAGGCGTTAACTGTCGAGATTAGACAAGTAGATATGTGTTGATAATACCGCACCATTACAAATAGCGATAAATCAGAAATGCTACTTAATTATCATATATTTTATAATATTATTGTATTATTATATTATCCGTTAACATATATCTCCTCCATAAGGGAGGATTTGCCAGTAGTTATCACACTTGGTGGGCGGGTTGGCAACCGTTGTTAGGCATTGGTGAAATTTAAAGAGGGACGTTGCTGTCCATTTGTCGATCATTAAATTTCCTTAGTCGCCTCTTACGGCACCCACGGGAAAGGAAAGAGTGGCCCATATTATGCCGGAACGACACGACGATATATCATTTATCGTTACGTCTGTCAAAAGGAATTTATAATGCATAGATACGTTAGCACTGTCGTATCAAGTATGACTGATGTGGGCTGTACTTACTGGATTTTGTCATTAATGCAATCAAAGTCAAGTAAATGCGGCGGGCATTCATAATAGAGTGAGGTAACATTACCTAATACTGTCTTTAAATGCTACATCACGAAACACATCTTCGTCAAACCACTTTAGAAAAATATTCGTACTAATATTATAAATGTAAGAGCAAGTCTGTACGTCTACATGTACAGTACGCAACCAGATATATTGCTCAATCAGTAATTTAATATTTTGTTCTTTAAAAGTTTAGAATAAAAACTTTTACAACAAACACACAATAAAAAAACCTAAACAAACAGGTTTAGATAAAGTATTGTGCTAATTTGCTCTAATAATACATGGACTAGTTGATCGAAGAAGTTGTGTAATTATTTGATAGCCATTTGCCAAATATATAGTATGAGTCGTTTAGAAATGTTTTATAATAGTTAATAATACAAATACAAATTACTTTCTTTCTATCTATATATCTATCCGTGAAGCAAGGGCGGATCGCTAATGAGATTTATTGGGGAGGGGATAATGAGGATTAGCAATCCCTTTGTCATCAATAAACGCTACCAGGTTGACTTTCTCGCGGTTCCACTGGAAAGCATCGTGATTGATTTATTCTGTCATGATGGTCTAAACGACTTGCTTCATCCTTACCTATTATCTCTGACTGGTGCCCTGCCAGTGTATACCGATAAATAACTATTTCAAGTAATTCAAATGAAATACTTCCCTTTGAATAGAACAAAATGAAATTGTAAAAAAAAAACGAATAATTGATCCGACCTAGATCTCTTTATTACTAACAACAGTAATAATTATAGTTAAAAGAAACAATAATAAAGAAAAAAATCAGTACATTAGCTGGTAATAGGAGCTCCCTCAGTTGCTGTTATATATACGAGTACATGCCTAACGAGGTGCAGGCCCTTTAATTACCATTATAACTTTTATATTCGTGCAGGTTGCCAATTCTTATATTTCAGATGTGAGACTTAATATATTGAAAAAAATAATAATAAAAAGAAACCCAAACCAAAATTTAAAAAAGGATTAATTCCTAATACAAAATTTAAGGATGGAATTATACCTTTTCAACAATGACTTTGTATATCTTTCATTCATATATTAGATATGTCTTATCTTTAGGTTATATCTTTGGGTAGTATTTGAGATGGAGAAGAATGTAGGTTGCTTTTTGTCCATGTCAATTGATATATCCTGGTCACACGAACGAAATCTTATATATTTCCTCCTTTATTACTCCTACCTACTATATACCACGATCAGGACTGACCACATCAGAGGTCAGCGGTGGGTGTGGCCACAACCTTGCCCATAGAAGTTCTGACCATGAGGCACCCAAATACTAGGTCAGTCTAGATCGTGTTACGACTTCACTATTTGTTGAACAAAGCTCATTCAAAAATTGGTTTGTTATGTTTGGTTTAAAGGAGATGTCTGGCTGAAAAACAATATTTTGTTTGCAAAGAAAATTATGTACACAATAGAGCGTCTATATTCATATACTTACTAATATTGTAAAAGTAAATGTGTTTATGTGTTTATAGATACTATAGCGCCTTAACAGTTTAACCAATCACTATAAAATTTTATATACATGTAATATATGGGAGGGAGAAAGTTATAGCTTACTTTTCATCCTAGTATGTAAACACATCTTGACCATGCATACGAAGTCGCGGGTAAAAACTAGTAAAATATAAAATAAGCTAAAATTATTGCTTAACGTTTATTTTAGCAGCAATGTACATGACTATGTTATACATGACCTGTTATTAGAAAAATTTGTACTCTTCTCAATAAAATTGTTACAATAAACACCTGATGGGTTTAGCTGTTAAAGTCATATTCAAAGGTTTATTTCCTCCGTGTAATCAATTGAATGGTGGCTTGGAAATTATAGAAACAATGAAGTAGACAAATTTTATAGAAAAAATGTATAGAAATATAAATTTTTACCTACGGACAATATGTCTACACTCTGCACAAGCCTTAATTGTAATCTATTACAGTCTAGGTGAGATTTATATAGATTTAATAATAGCTTTTCTGACAAATAACTGTGACAGCACTTATGAGCCATTGTACAACCAAATTGGCCCTTTAAGTGCGCATATTATCATAGCTGTTCTTTGTGGACACCAACTGTGGTTGCGTCAAATAGATTGCGCAGTGCGAGAGGCCCCAAACAGTCAATGACTGAATGCGAGTTCGCAAATAGTGACCTCGAAATGGTCATTACATATTGTATCCAATGCAAGTAGATTTATATGTAAATAATAAAATCTTTTCCTCCATAATGCAGTAATAGAGTTGTTGCGTTTCTCTGATACAAGAGGTATAAAATTTAGTCCACAAAGAGAGCATGCACAGATGCTATATGGCAAATAAAATATTAGTATGGGTCTCCACAATACAACTCTAAATGAGGTAAACGTTTTATAATCCTAATTCCATATACAACAATAATGTGAAAGTGTTTGTTTGTTTATTACTTCTTGAGGCATTATTGAGCATGAACAACTACTATTTATTACTACTATTCATCTCCATGACGGTAAATTACGAGCACATGTAGTAGACGTAAAAGAAAGCAAACAAATGACAATCTATATATTATTTCTTTATTAATATAATAGCGAACTTAATGATATATAGTCTTAAGCTTGCTATTTGTTTATTATTATATAAATTTTATTGTACAATAAAGAATAAATAAATAAATACTCAAAATAATTAGATATTACAAAATATCATCACTCCTTGTACAAGCTACTAAGGAAAACTAGACAACCGAAGAACGTAAATATATACATATAAGAGCCTGAGAAGAAAAAACGAAATAAAACCCAACTAAAAAATTTATGTCTAGTATAATTGCTACATATAAACTACATAATACAAACCAAAACCGTATAAAGAGTAGCAAATACTACAAGTAATTATGATCTATAACCAAAACAATATTACTTGACAATTGGCACCATTGTGTTACAATTGCACATAGACAATTATGTATTTGATTTATAGGTTTCAAACATTTTAAAGTCGACAATTTTTTAATATAATACATGTAATACTAGTACTTTATAAATATTGATCACGTATGTGGATATCCTTGTTTCATATCCTTGATTCTATTATGCAGAGAAATCCGAACGTCTGAACAATTAATAGATCTTCATAATTCACTAGTTAGCTAGTAGTCATAGTAGTTAGTAGTAGTAATTATGGTTCAATTCCATAGATATTGCTCCCTTTCTGTATTATATTCTTTCTTAACATGCAAAATGATACATAATTCTAAACAAGGCTATAATTTTTTCGGTCTAAATCACTATAGGTTTAGGCTGGTATCTCAGCGACATCTAGCTAGAATAGTAGAAACCTTATTACTATGCTTTTATGTTAGCATTTCAAACTGAATACACAAATGTCTTGGTGAATCACATTTACCTATCACGATTAAAACATTAATATTCACTTCATAATTTACGAAGTTTAGGGTAGATGTCATCTTTAACAGATTGAAATAAAGAGAAAACTGTGGATGTATTTCATATATGTAAGAATGCAATTTAATAATAACATCAGTGATTAATCTGTTATTGCTGACATGTTAGAAGAATTTGAAATTATTTTGAAATGTTTAACTCTTCATTCGGGACAACCCTATATCTATTACTATTGAACTGCAGCATACTCGATAAAAGTGCTCCCTCTCTCTAATGATTGAAATAAATAGTTAAAAAAAACTTACAATTATAATGACAAGGGGTGGTAAAATTGTGATTTTTGCGCCCCCTGACAATGCGGACCGTAGCAGGTGCCTCATTTTCATATTTCTGACTAGCTTAATTCTGCAGATTTATCCTCGTGACTTAGGATAAAAAGTATCTTATTTGAATGACTGTAAATATTTATCATATTTAACTCATATCTATTCGTTAATTTAAAAGTTTGCGGTGAGATTTGTTCTATTCTGGGTATGTAAATAATAATAATCGTCGTCAATATCATATCAACCATTAACTGTCCAATGCTGAACATAGCCCCCCCTCCCTAACCCCCAAAGCTTGCCAGTAGTTACCACGCTTGGCAACCGCAGTTAAGATTTGGTGACGTTTTAAGAAGCATGCTGGTACCCATTCCTCAACCATTAAATTTCCTTAGTCGTTTCTTATGACACTCATTAGAAAGTAAAGGGTGGCCCATTCTATACCAGGATCACACGACTAATAATTATAATAACGTAAAATAATGAATAAATAAATCATTGTTTAATTATAAATACTTTTATTAAATGCTATTGCTTACTACGGTGTCGGAGGCTTAACGTCGGTCGCTTTGTAAAGAGAATTAATCGCAATATCTGAAGATACAAACGCCATAGATTTTGCTAACGTTGCTAAAGACAAAGTATCCATAATTATTCTATTTGCAACGTGATTTAGTTTAGCACCATGAGATTGTGCTGTGTATTTCAAAGCCAATTTCATTACTCGTTCACATGCGAGAGACTTGGATGTAGCACTTTTAGCTTCCTTTCCAGCTTGCTGAGCGGCAGTTTTTGCTAAATTCATCATTAAATCTTGATGACTTGACATTCCGTTTTTAGCAAACTTTACAGACATTTGGACTTCTATTGAGGCGGTTAAAGCTCGTCTCATAGCCACAACACTCGCTGCAGTTAAATATGCAACATCTCCAGCATATAATATTGCCTTTTTAGCCTTAACTTCTAACTTTTCAAATTTTTGTTTAGCTTTCTTTTCATTTAATGTCGCGTCTTCTATCTCAGCCTGATCAAACTCCATTTCAGCAACAATATCGGAATTTAGTACCGTTCTATATGTATTATCTTTAGAATCAAGCCAATCATCCATTAAATCTGGTGCATTTAGTTCTTGTGTATCTAAAGTATGACTATCAGTTGCCACATGATGAGTGGTATTTATAGTTTTATCTAAAATTATTCTTTCAGTTTCATTTATATTGATATCACTGTTTTCTAAATCTAAGGCTGTCTGATTTAAAAATCCTTTTACTGCAATTTGTACTATTGGTTTTTTATTTAAGAATTGAAGTTGTTTTTGGTTATTTTTTGGGATAACTGAATACGGAGATAAATTATTTTTACTATAAAGTGTCAAGGTTGAGTTTGCTTTCTTATAATTATTAATATTAACTGCACTCTTATTTAATAAAATACTATAAATCGTTGGTTTATTATAATTTAAAGGTTCTGGTGTTACTAATATATTTTCTACTGGCACCGCTCTTTTTTTACGAAGTGATAAATCTACAGATTGTTTTTTAGATAAGGTTGTTGCATACGTAATATCCTTTAAAGCAGATATTATTGATATTTCAGCAGCAATTTGGGCTAGTCCGTATACTAACCTATGTAGTTCTGGTTCAGTCGACAATTTTGTTATACTAAGAATATGACTCGATAATGTTCTTGACAAGTAGTCTAAAATACGTCTTGTTTCAATTGCTGTGATACCTTTATTCTTACCAGGGGCTTCTAGAGCCTCTCTCGTAATTCTTGTTAATTTGTCTTGTATTTCTAATTTTGAAAGTATAGCTGAAACAAGATCTTTAGAAATTTGATAAAGATTTTCTTCCATTCGTGGATTTTGAGTCACATTTTTAGTCACTTTCAATATTGAATTATCTAAATGTTGTATGACTTTATGCGGAGAATTTAATAAAAACCTTTCACCAACCAATTGTTGGTTTACTTTTTCTCTAAGATCATGAACTGGTGATATACCAGCAAAAATTACATCGATCTGAAATTTTAAATTATTAATATTATTAATAATTATATCGTAATTGGTAACGAATGTTCTAGTAAAAAATATATTACAATTAAAATTATTAAAAAAATATATATTTATTAAAAAATAACTTACAAGAATTCCCGATATTATCAACGACACTATTCTAATTTCAAAAGAAAACATTGTTTCACCATACAAAGGACAGAATTGACTGTAGCAAACCGTCAAATGTTATTTTATTCCATTTAAAAATAACCAATTTTCAGTCGCGTAATTGCCAATTAAAACACAACTTTTAACAATATTCTTTAATATTTTTTAACGATACAATGATGCTTTTTCCATTTCACATTTGTACATTGAAAAGTAACATTTATCAAACCAGTAAAAAAAATAACTACATCTACTAAAACATACCAGTTATCCTTTTTTTCTATAGAGAAATTATAGTCGATATAGCAAACTTTGCTACTATAATTACAGCTACTATAAATAATTCTTTAAAAATTTATCGATCATATTTTTATTTTAGTACTTTTCATTAAATATTAAAAAGTGGCTATTCTAATTCATGATCGTTAAACAGTATAAATTTTTTAATTTTATTTTTAACTTTAATTAATATTACAATATTCAGAGAATTAAGCTACTTTACCGTGTAGTTCCGGCATAGAATAGGCCACCCCTTCTTTTCCCGTGGGTGTCGTAAGAATCGACTAAAGGAGGACGAGGGATTGGCAGCAGCGTTCCTTTTAAATCATTTCTTAAGCCTAACTGCGATTGCCAACCCGTCTGACAAGCTTGGCAATTACTGGCAAAACCCCACAAGAGGGAGTGGACAGTTAAAGGCTGATCTGATCTGAACCTACTTTAATAAATTGTTAATTGTGAAAAAAGTAGTATTAGCATGTAGCTATAATTATAATGCAGAGTATGGAATTGATTTAAAAATCCGTAAATCATACATCAGGACTAATAAATCAGGATCAAAATTAAATTGAATCACAAATTATAATGCAATACTTCTTATTCTACCTAATTAATCATTGTTGCCAAACTAAACATTTTAAATATTATGCCTTAAATGTGTATAGAAATAATACGAATAATTAATATTTATTTATAACAATTTTAATAAATATTACTTAATTATAACAATATATTACAATCTTATTTATACTTATTACATATTATAATTGTATCTTACGAGTACATAAATTTAATCATGACTTCTTTGTGACATTTTGTTTACAAAATGCATATTTAACAAATGAGATACACGTATTACAAAAATAATCAAAGAGATTATTATATTTTTAACCAAGGTAAGCAGGCAATACCTTGATTCGATCATCATCGTCACGACCGTCTAGTTCAGTTTTTCCAAGTGCTGGTACATCAGCATTATTATTTGATGGCAATAAATCGTTTTCTTGATTAACACTGCGTTGGACTCTCATAGATTCAGGTTTAGATGCACCAACATTGCCTCCCGCAACACTTGATGCTGATCCATTTTTTCCTGTAACTGATGGTGTTGGCTCGACTTTTGGGGGGATTTGCTGGATTACGTCGGGTTCTAAAGGCAGGCACGTGCACACGGCTAACAGTGCCAACGACGCGACGACAAAAAACATTGAACGCATTTTTAATAGCTCCTATTTTGCTCGTGATTCTACTACCTAAACTGATATAAATTCTTACCAAAGTTTTAATATATATAGAGACAATGATTACATAAAAAATTTCATCTAATTGGAACTGTACATTTAAATAATACTCATTATTGTTTGTGGAAGATATAACTATATTGACGCACGATTTCTCAACAAGTACCTGTTCTATAAACAGTGTGATGTGATTGTTTCCTCACGAGCCTTGACTCACTAGGGAGTGCTAACACAATACCAAATGCGTGTAAAAACCTGATAAAAACAGTAACAAAACGAATTATCACTCAGTCATATGGCTCCAAATCATCCATGTTTAGATCAACATAAACACATTGGTGTGTGAACAATTGGACATAATGTAAGAACACTCCAATGTCACGTCCGCATTAACAATCAGTCAAGTACCTAATGTATTTTTAATGTAAATATTTTGGAAACAGCACATTTTATCCAATGTTTACGATTCAAATAAAGTTGTTTGAAACTTTTTAAAGAGAATAACTGCCTATTCATTATATATTCTCCCAAATAACGCACTAAGGGTAAATAACCAATACCTCTCTTTCTTATACCAAACGTTGCTGCTCCGCAAAAGTTACATAAAATAGGAAACTGACTGACTGATCAATGCACAGCTAAAGCTGCTGGGTCTAGAAACATAAAACTTTATACTGAAAATCCCTCCAAATTTTAATACTCAAAATTCAAATAGATATAGAAACTGTTAAAAACACTACCAAGTAAGAAATCAAATTATGTATCAGCGTTGTAAGTCGCGCATTATAGTAATTAATAAAGAAAAATTAATAAAGAAACTTCACATGTCTTTTACATAATCTAGGGTCCATGAATAAACATGGCATATGCCAATAACAATCAAACATTCTTATTCCTAATAAAAAGTGTATAGATATTATTTTTAAGAAAGAAAAAGAGACAAGACTCTGTAATGCAAAGCTTTTTTTGAGGATTTTACTATATTAAAATGAAAACTTCTTTTTTAAATCATCAAACCAATATTAAAGGTAAGTTAATAGCAAATAGGATTAGAAGTTTCATTTTCAGTAATCTTAATAGATACAAATATAATATTTGCATGAATTATAATTGTGAATTAAGCTCAGCTGCTGTTCACAGTGACCACCATGTCAGTGCCTACTAATTAACGTAGGTCTTCCTCAAGGCACGGTACTGAGACCGATCTCAGCTTTTCGCTTTTATATTACTTGTATAACACCCTATATACCTATGTCATCACTCTATTTAGCACAGAGTCTAAAAATGAAGTATTCGTATATACATTATTCCTAAAAGGTTTTAAAAATCTTGGAATGTATATCAAGACGATTAAATGTTTATTTTAGTTTTCACAAATGTAGATCACACTAACTAGTCATGAATAATGTTAGTCATGTCACATAGTATACTTCGCAGTACACAGATTAGTAATACAAATCCCATCTATTTTTTGACATAATCCACAATAATATGCATTCATGGTCATTATGTTGTTATTGGAAGTATTTACTGATTTTATTATCGAGTACCACTATAATGCGTCAATGATTCCTATTCTAGAAATAATATTTAGCACAATTATGTTCAGCAGTTAGTATAAAACTGAACGTTCAAGACATCGACTAACACAATTGGAAGACAGCATACGGAGAACAGCTTCTAAGAGTCTTCTCTAAATTATTTCGCGGAGAAGTTTCTTGAGGCCCATCAAGATCATGGCTTCCCTGTTGTGTTTCCTTCTCTCGCTCACGCTTGTCGCTATCAACATCGCCTCTCCAGTGCCGGAAGAAGCTCAGACCACAACTGCAGACCCTAACCAAGATGTTCTGCTGGATGTTATAGAAGTGGTTGAGGAAGTTCCTGTACTTGTACCAGTGATAGAGGCAACGACGGCGGCATCTGAGGTCACTACTCATAAAGTAGCGAAGAGATCCCTTCTTCGAGGAGATAACCCGAGCAATGACTTACTTGCAAACTTCGAAGGATTAAATTATGATAATGGTTTGTCGGAACTTGCTGGACGAAGAATCAAGTTCTTGCCTACTTGGCTTGGATAAGCGGACCAAAAATTTATTCTTACATATAGATTCCACTCTTAGTATGAACATTGTTTTTATACCAAGAATTTTTAGAGTTTAAAAATATTATTTTTAATTTATAAAAGTCAGTATTAATAATAAAACATTTTATACAAATAAATACAATTTTTTTAAATCTATCCCATAATAAAATTATAAGAACTAAAAAGTCTGTATATCGGGATTTTTTTATTAACTGTTTCTAAAATGTTGTTCTCTAAACCGTAGTGTAAAATTCTTAGTCTAGACTTAAAAGACATTTCTTAATATGTATTAGGATTCTGTAATGTTGTTCCTTATCTGAAATAAACTTTAACAACAGTATGCCGAGTTGTTAGTTATATAATGTTGGTCTCCCTACGGTATTGAATATTCGGTCTGAATTCTAATAAAAAATATCAGAAAATGAAAATTATTGTACCTAATTAATTGTAATATCATAGGTAATTTGAGAAATATAATTTTAATATCAACAAACAATCATAAACGTTATAAAAAGTCAATTTTGCTGACAAATACCTATATTTACTAGCAATTACAACTGAACTAATATAATTATATGTCGATTACTTAACTACAAAGCATTTCTTTATTTTACGATTTGAAAATTGCAAAAGGTATCTGTCTAGTAAAATTTAAAAAAAATATCTTAACTCTATCAACCAATTTTCTTTTCTAACCACTCGAAAATAAAATCAGCTAGTAGGTACAATATCTGAAATAATAGCGATTGATGGATTGTATGGACCTGCACCAAATAATTTATAATGTCTACGGTGTTCTCGATAACAGTTCCTATTTTCTTTTATGTGATTCTTGTTCACCTTATACAGTAAGTAGTTAAAGAAATCATGTAAACCATTGAGGACAGAAAAACTTTAAGTGCAGTTTTAATAGTGAGTTTTATAGTCACTAATGCATACATAATAATTACAAGTTACATTAATCTCTAGATTAATAACAGGTAGATGTTAACAAAGTGTTACACTACAAACTATTAACTAATTAAAATTATATTCCACAAAAAAAATCGACTTCAATTTTGACAAAACCAGTTATTTTGATTTCAAAACTAACCTACTACATAACCGATTTTTTTTAATTGCTGTAGGACCAATTTTTAAGTATATCCTTTCAGATCAAAAAAGAATTTTCCGAATCGGTTTGTAACTGACGGAGTTAAGACGTAACAAACATAAAAAATGCCTATAACCTAATTGAGAACTTCCTTTTTGTAGTCGATTGAAAAGAGCCTCATTTTATTTTTAATAGAGCGCTTTTAAAATTTTATTAATCTTGATATTATTACACACAACGTCATTTTATTTATACAATACAATTTTTAATACTACTGATATCAATATACTTTTAGACTCAGACTTTCTTGTATCCAACGTGACATCAACCAACTTAAATCTCAAGATTATGAAAATAAACATTTTTAAAAGAAATAGGAATAGCTAAGGAACGGCATCTATAAGCTGTGTATAGGTAAAATAAATAAAACAAATGGATACACTTGACGCACTTTAAACGAAGTAGAATTTATCATTTTACTTATAAACGTATTCCATTTTATCATAAAACTAATTAAGTGCTACGATCCCATCACATATACAATTATGCTTTGCACTTAAAAGAAAACATTGTTTACAACTAAAAAAGAGATTAATGATGACAGTTAGCAATTATTAATTTTATTTCAAAATTCATATTCATTTGGAAATTTTACATTTATATATTCCCGTTGAATATACCCAGGATTGTAATCCATATAATCATTGCCTCTTCTTAGTCCCACGTTTATCTTTAGTCTTTCAGGATTAAGAAATAATCCATCTGTCAATAAGCAATGAGCCAATTTGAAAATAAGGAAAAATATTAGGAACAATGAAAGGTTTGCCATTATCTGGAAATATTGGAGAAAAACTACAATGAATCGCAAATAGAACGAAGATTATATAGGGACTATATTATACTCGTGTTAACGTCAATGCGCTATGTGCTAATATCTGTGTTCGGACTTGATAATATCTACGTTAAATATATGTTGAACAGGATATTATAGTGTTATATTTATTCATTTCATTATTTTATGGTCGTGACTATACTTGAGAGAAATAATGGGGTCGGTTCTGAGCGCTTCTTTTTCTGTTCTTTAAAATCTCTTAAACTAATATTTAAAATTGTGATTTCTCAAAATCACTATTTTATGGACAATCATAATTTAAATTCGACTAAATTTATGTTTATTTGGTTAGTGGAAATTTTATTGTTAATTTTTTTATAAGTACACATTATATTTTAATTATAATTTAAGATTTTAATATATTATTATATTACTACCGGTCGAGAAAGCTCGGCTAGTTTCGAGACTTGACATTCAGAACTCTTAATCTTTAGTAGCTATAACTGATAGGTATTACATTAAAATGCTATAAATAGTTCATATTGATCCTTAAACTTAAGATACCGTTGTGATATCAAATTAAAATTGTAGGAAGTAAGTTTAGAGAAATGACGCCATAAAATTTATCTCAATATTATTAATACGTTACTCCCGTACATTTTTCCCGTACACAGGTCTTAGAGTTGTTTATTTTTATAAAAATTAAAAAGGCAAACCGGTCAGCTTGGTTGCCTTTTTAATTTTGCCATAATTATGAAAATAACAATCGTCAGCAATGAACAAGACACCCACTATGAATATCACAGACTGCACTGAGTTGTCCATGGTATGACGAAAGTATTATGTCTCCTGTCTCTGTATTTTTACTGGCATAAAAAAAGCAAAATAAAGTCGTATGCAGATTTTGTACAGTCTCTTTCCACCACCAAGAGATGTTAATTTAATTATTAGCCACTATATTTTTATACTTTAGCTGTCTACCTTCTAGCTTCACTATTCACGTTTCTCTTCCTTCCTTTCTGAATTTCCTGAAATTTTCATGGGAATATATTCCGTAAAATTTTTTTACACGATATCAATATCATAATAGAATATCTAATCAAATTAATGTTTAAATTTAACTATTCTAATCCCAACCTAAGGTTAAGTTTAGGATAATGTATTTGGTATGGACTGGTCAATCAATCTTATTGTGTATATACTTATGCATTCGTATATCTTCAATGTTATTATTATGTCTGTCTTTTTATATTCGTAGAAATCGACAGTTATTTTAGTAGGTAATATTAGTCATAACAAAGCCATCAAATAAACATTGGACAACAAACATAAAGATATTCCATGTGGATTCAGGACAAAATATTAATGTACGATAAAATCATAACATGTTTTCCTTCTGTGACAGCTGTCCGTCCGTTTAATGCAACATAAGTATTTGTACCAGACAAAAAGAGAATACACACACACACTTAGTTCTGAACACCTGTAGCCAGACATAAGATGGTTCAAAATGACAATTTTAATACAATATCTTTACTAATATTATTAATGTGACGGTAAATTTGCTTCTTTTTTCATAGTCCTAATGAAGTGTCTTCTACATCAACAAGGATGGAAAAGCACATATGCTACTTGGTTTCATTATGATCAATCAACATATTCCGATCACGTGAACTAAGTTGCGGCTAAAAATTGGATGAATAACAAGAAAAAAATATTAATATTTGAATCAGCGTCTGAGAACATTTGAACAAAACATTTGATCATGAAGGCTAAAATTCGATAAAATTCAATTCAATAATAAACTAAAGAACTATATAAATATTGCAAAATAATTTGCCACATACACAATCTAATTTACTATTAACTGTTAGGTATACATTTTTTTGACATGTCGACGATTATCGGTTCGTGTGTATTTGTGTGTAATCTTTTCAATCAATTTAAGTCTTCAACTGATTAATTATCGCTTTTACAAAGATTACGTACGTTCGACCAGATTTCATGTTTATAAACATTAATTTTCTTAATGTTATATGTCCTTTTTCAACATTTGCAGCTGTAGTGTCTAATATATAAGAAATAAATCTATTCATCGCATGATCACTTCTACTTTTTCACTCGTGATTTGTTCATCGAAAAATATAATAATAATATTATGAAATCTAGTACTAATTGTGCACTGTTATGTACAGTTTTATGTTTAGCTATAGTATCGAATGCATACAAATTTATTAAAACACGGAATGATAATTCAATATGCATTATTAAACCATTACCAAACACGCATACTACTATAATTGTTAAATTAGATGATGACGACTTAATTATAACAAAATGTTATCAGTTGGAAATAACTACACCTTTAATGGTGTTTAAAGGTGACAAAGTATTATACAATCTACTGCATAAAAAACAGAAACTATTTTTATATAGTAAACCAAACATAATAATTATATCAACAATAGAGATGCTCCTCAATAATTCCATTTTCGAGATGAGTTTGCAGTCTCATTGGTCGTTAATGCACCTAATAATTACAAACACCAATATTAATTGCAAGCAATCAGAAACGAATTCAGATTTTTTATCAATGATGGAGCGTTTCCTTAACGACTTGTGGCACAGATATCAATTAGTTTATGCACTCATTGAATTCCCTCTGGCCTGTCCAAAAAGATTTATTACATTCGATGGTAACAAGCGACCAAATGATAATTTATACAACAGAACTATAACGGTAATAGAAGAGAAAGATTTAGAAGAAACTCTAAAGAAAAGCCAAAACAGGTTAAGTGATGGCTTCCCTTTAAAAATAAATATATTTGAACGGTTTCCCACGACTTTCACAAAATGTAAGAAAATTTACAACTACATAAAATTCAATATAAATATAACGAATGGATTCTGCGGAATGGATGCCTTAATCATGCACGATTTTATAAAAACATTTAAATTTAATGTTACATTCGTCAGTAATGAAGAAATTAACAAATATGGTTATGTCGTAGCAGGTCATGCTTCTGGTAGCTTGGGTGGTGTGATACGCCGAGAAATAGATATTTCATTTAATTCGAGATTTTTGGTGAAATACACGGAAAGCGGCTTCGACTTTCTTAGCTACGTAGCAGCTGATTCTTTATGTGCTCTTACCCAGATTCCAAATGTCGTGCCACTTTGGAAATACCCCATAAACATGTATAATTATAAACAGTGGATGTTCATAATATTCATTTTTATGATATTAGGTGTAGTGAAATGGTTGTTCAGTAAATGTTTTAATTGGATAACTGGGGAAAAACTACACGGACCACAGATATATATAATAGAAACTGTATGGAGTGCGATGTTCGGTTTTTTTCTGATCAAGAAAATCCGACGTTGTATTTTTATAGCCATGTGCCTATTAATCTCTATCGTTCTTTCTGCAATGTATCAGGTAAGACTTTTACATTTAATGGATTTAGAATTATCGTGACCAACAAGAGATTTTTGAAATAATTTTACAACCATTGTATAATTTGAAAATTATTACTCTAAAATCTACCTATACTCGATAAATAATTGTCTTTATAATATTTTTTAATTAACCACTGCATTAATTTAATTAAACTCTAATACCTCACATTGATGATTGAATCTCGTATAACCAACCAGCGTTTGGCTTTTCTGTTGTGCAGTAACAATATGTCCTTTGTTGTTTCGATCTAAAGAGTAAGATCGACAATAAGTAGACATTAAAATCTTTAACACACAAAATATACCCGTCAGTATATACCGTTACCGTAGGCAGGGTTATCATCCATTAAAAAAAAACACGCAAAACATCATGATTACCGTAAACATTACAATAACCGCAGAATTGTTCAACGACTATAACCACTTTACATCTGGATATATGGTTTATACGAGCATAGTTGCTAATAGGTAATATAAAATTAACGCAAATTTTATAGCTATTATATAATAAAAAAATTGTTTACCGTTTGTATTTATAATAAGTTTACTAATGTAATCTTTTGGTGGAAACAATAAAGAGTACCAAACTATCTAAATATTTGATTTTACAGGGCCATGTAAACTATATGTTTACAACTATAAGACGATATGACCGAATGAGAACACTTCAAGATCTCTGCGAATCGAACATGCCACTATACACGTCTCCTGCGATGTTGATATTACTCGGAGCTGATACCATAGACGAGTCCACCAGCAATACAATGAAAACAATTCTAAAGCACGTAAAGTTATATCCAGAGGATCCTAGTACGTAATTATATTTATTTATTTAAAAGTTATCGTCAAAGCATAAACTTTTACAAACGTAAATAAAATGTTAGTTTTTTTATCAAAGGGAACTTCGACCAAAGTCTTGGATACTTCTGTTTCACTCGTGTTTTGGTCTTGAAGCAGTTATGGTTGCATGGCTGTATTTCAGTTTTGAAGGATAGAGGGTATAAGACAGTGAAATTACAGGTTAAAGGGGCATAACACATTCGTTCTAAGGAATGCCAACGCATAGAGGATATAATGGGCTCGTTGCTAATTTCTTTTGGAGTTTTATGTTTAAATACGAGAAGGTACGAGCTTCTGTTAGGTGTGATATATTGAATGATTGTTATGAATAATAAACTAAGATAAAAAATATCCCAATTTCATATGAATCGACATTTATATATTTATACCAGATACTAGGGGCGCGTGAATCTGAATAATTTTGTTATTCGAATAATTAGTAATATACTAATTTTCGTATTTGAATGATTTTACCTACTTTTTAACATATACTTGTTAATTAACTTTGCCTATGAAGTAGTCTATAAATTTAAGTCAACTTTTTGTCATTCCACGTTGTATAAAAAAAGTAATTACATTTTCCATTTATAAGATTTTAGAGCTGATCCAGTAACCACGGCAACGCTCCAAAGGCGATCAGATATAAATTTGGAAATTATTGAAAACTATACAGATAAAGATGGGAGACCATTTCTATATGTAATAGATGAATGTTTTTGCAATTTGTACTTATCGTACATCGTCAAATCAGGTAAGATAACTATTGGATATCAGTATATAGTAAAATTAGGAACCTAATTTTTTATTTTACCAAACTATTATTCGACTATACAGGGTGTAAGAGGCGGGTTGGCAAAAATTAAAACAGTGAATTCAGACTATTATTCTGAACTAGAAAGAAATTATTTCCGAAAAATTTCAAATCTTTTTCCTGTCTTTTTTATTTAAACTCATGTTATCTATGATACATATTATGTAATATAAAGATATTGTTAAACTTATCGTTTGTTTATTTTTATAATTCGCTGGCATGTATGTATTATATAGGGTTGAATATAAACTTTGAAAGTTTACTAAAGTCCATGAAATGCAATTTGCATGAAATGCGTTTGCATTAACATCGTCAATATCTGACAATAATGTTTTAATCAGTTTGTATGAAAATTACAAAAAATATTTTAAGATTTTGATAATGCTCAGTTGAGAAAATTGTTTGAATATCTACTATAATTTGAATAAAACTTGGAATAAAATACCAAATATGATTACCTATGCCATCGAACAGCTGTATTTGCACGGATATGTTTAAAGGGTATGATAACGCAGTGATATTATAGAGTCAGGTGGGCCATTAACTTGTTTGTTCTTGAAATTTGCATTAACGTACTTAAAATTATTTTCTGAAAGAGCCTGGCCTTTTATGACCACATATTTTATATTAATATATATATAAAAAAACACCTATATGTTCTCTCAAACATGTCTCTGTGCATAGCTAAAGCATTCTAAGAGCTTCTCTCGCATTTTGGGATGAGCGCAAAAAAATTCTGAGGTGGGCATAACCCTCCTAGCTTTCCATCTTTAATACGTCTATGCTAAGTTGCACAAAAATCTTCCTTTTTCAGAATTTCTCTTCACTTCACAAATCCGAGGTTTCATGATGCGGATGGTGGAAGCAGGACTTCCCGAGAAATATTACAAGTGGACCAGATACACGTTGCGTTTAGGAGACATTATACAGAATCCAATCTCGGAACCTCGTTTTTTCACTAAAATCACTTTAAAAGAACAGCGAATACCTTTTGCTCTGCTTTTATGTGGTTATATTGTATCCATCCTCTTATTTATAATTGAAAAATGGTGTTATTACCGTACAATTAAGACAAAATCAAAGAAATAAATTCATTTATTATTCGCCAACTTAATAACGGTTGTCCTAATTATATACTTGGATAGATTTTAATATCCAAAATAACGTAGGACTAAATAGGTGAAATATATTGGTCGCAAAATCTCATTTTGCTGAAGAAAATTAATGTATGAATTTTAAAGAAACTCATCATATGAATCTGAAAATATATATTACCTGATAAATATTGTTACCTAAAAAATAAACCAATAACGAGTAGGTATTTAAGTAAGTCTGTAAGAAACGTAATAATTATTTGTATATGCTTTTGTATGTTTTTATAGTACATATATTTTATTCATCATATTATTTGCAATCTGCTCCTCTATAACAGCCATAATCAGATAAGATGCTATCTTAAATGAAAGTCTAAGTTATAAAGAGCAATCCATTGACAACTCTCTCAGTACTTTGTGAAGCTCTTCAAGCCCTAATGTCCAGGTTCAATACAAGACCTTCGTCTCAACCTTGTAGATTGTTGTACTGTGAGCAGTTTTTCAATAGTCTATATGACTATATCCTGTGCAAAAAGACACAATAAAAAGCGCAATTTCTATTTATTTATTTTATTTATCACTTATCTAGAAGTCGTAAAGTAATTATTATACTAAGTAGTAATAAATCTGAATGAATAAAAAATGCGGTAACTGTAAAAATCAAAATGTACCTAGGTACATTACAACAACACACTTATCTTAAACTATATAGTAATTGACTCATATATTATAAATTAATTTATATATTTAAATACATAGATGGTATGTGTAAGAGTTTATGTGTTATTAATATCTATAATTATTATGTATTTTTCGGCAAAGTAAAATATTTGGGCGAGTAAATATTTTTGTAATTAATTAATAAATTAGATTAATTTTAATCACAGTGTCGTTTTCTTTATTATTTATATAATCTTTTGGATATCCTTGCTTACTTCCTTTGTTTATTTATTTGTTTCATCTCCTTTAGGGTCTTCACGGTTTAATCATTACTAAAAAATTTGGTATACACGTATTATTATAGGATAGGAAAAGGACTAGGCTACTATTTATCCCGGTTACGCGAACTAAGTACGGATAAAACTAGTGAATTTTTTTTTTGTTTATTTATATTATTGAACAATCCCCTTACAATACCCTAAAAAAATTAAAAGTATAATCAATAATTTTTATTACGCATTGTAACTTTTGTGCATATGATTTTTCCGCATAATTCTGTACTTAATATACGTTTAATGGAAATATATCAAACTATAGGCACTGAAAAAAGATCCTATAGGTGATGGTTATCCCATATGATAATAGGTGAGAACGAAGTAATAAGATTAGTCCGTCGTGAAGAATTAACCAGGATTTCGCCACAATACAGATCGGCCTATCACAGTATCTTATTAATATAATAAATCTATAAATAAACAATGACATGGGAGATATATTAAATAGAATTAATATGAAGTGTTTTATAAGACCAACAGATGCCAAAACAAAAATTTTGAAATTTTATGTATCTGTCTATCTCTATGTTTGTTCCAGCATCGCGCAGAAACTATTGCACCAAATAAGCGGTTTTCACAATTATATTCCTAAAGGTCTAACTTAAACTAGATTAGAATTATTTTGTTTAATTCCATTACCATTAGTATGTAGTGACTGTCAACACTCGAAGATTGACCACCAATATTACTACCACAGGTTCCACAACCTTCCACATTAGTCATCAATTTCCGACTGCCATTTTGTTCACGCACGTTTTGCGACACGTGTTTCACCTCTAAATGAGGTATTTTCAGGCAAAATTATTAGAGATATCCGAGGAGCGCAACGACTTGTAATCTAGTGTTAATTGTTAGAGATTTAAACCGCAAAAAATAGATAACATTGGGCTCCAAGCAGCAATAGTATAATAGCCCATATTAATCTCTTTGGACTGAAGAGATGACAATGGGGGAAAGGTATTGTTAATAATGGAATCTAACAGCACCAATACTAGTAATATAGCCTATCAGGTCCATCTCCATGCGGTCCCCTTGAAAACCATGGTGGTTTACTGTAAAATTTGTCACACAGGGTTTACTAACCTGATTTTATCCTCATCCATTATATCTCTCTAGTGCCTCGCTAGCATATACCGATAGTGAAAGTGGAATTACCATTCCATTTTCACTTATCAAATAATGAAATAAAACTTTATGGAGAAGCAGGTCATTATACGAGTATATGCTATCGAATGCCTTTTTTATGTCAAAATAAGCTGTATCCAACTGAAATCCAGAGTCCACAGCCTCTGTGACGTGTATCAAGAAGGACAGTAAGTTCGTAGCTGTGAAATACCCAGATCTAAAGCCATCCTAAAGGTCGATTAATATATATACATATATATCTCCTCATCATCATCTCAACCATTATCCGTCCACTGCTGAACATAGGCCTTCCCCATAAATGGCCATAAGGAACGGGCCTGATTAACCTGCATCCAATGACTCCCTAATGCACTTGAGGTTGTCACTTCATCTAGTAAGAGGTCGTCTTAGAATGCGTTTGCCCGTAAGAAGTCGCCACTGAAGAACCCTTCTATGCAAGAAAACTATATACTAGAGCTATATAATCAGCCCATTCCTCAGCTTTCTATTTATATTATGTATATATATTATATATATAAAAAAACACCCAAACCATTACAAAATATTCTTATGAACACAAATATTTATATCATACCAGGATCAAACCCACGACCATCGTGAGGTGAGGCGATGTATTAAACCGTCACACCACCAAGGTTGACAAATTATTAATGTATGTTAACAGCATGACAGGTTTTTATCGGTGACAACTGTCCGCTTGTTTAATGGCATAAGTTAAACTTAAATAAACAACTATAATATTTCAATATCTTTGGATACCTACAACTTCTACACTATCACTAAAATCCTTACCGTTTTTTTAATATCCCGTCCCGTTTCCCGTTTGCTAGTGACATAATGGGCAACACTAGCCCTTTGTCACCTTTGTCAATATTGAAAAAAAAGAGAAATAATATATATGCACTTAGTCCTTAACGTGTATCGTATACATCTCCAAATTGTATAATTTAAGGTAAGCCGATCAATTAAGATTAATTATCGAATATATTGATTTTAAGAAAAACCCTTTCTTTTTCCTAATATCAAAATTGATAAGTAACTGAAATCAAATAAAAATCTCTATCAAAACATACTACATGGGGTGTCTTAGATTACATGGCATAGCGATTACTTGCTCTATGAGCAGGATCTTATTTCAAAAGGCAGTCGACAACATAATTTATTTTACTGAAATACGAACAAATTTTTATCACCTCATTTACATGAATTTTTAGAGGATTCTACTGATAGCCTAGTGGCTTGGTTTGGAATTTTATTATTAAATTTTCTTATTTTATATCTACTTCATTAAGTAAGCCTTATTCGATTAATTAATGAAAAGGAATAGTGCCATATTCCATCACCACATGGATAATTTTGTTTTTTCTAACTTTTTTGTATCGTCAGCGGTTTTCGGCAAGTGTATATGAAATCTAACACAAACTTTCATTAAATCTGGGCCTTCGAGTGATTAATCATTGTAAGTTGAACATTACATTACATACCTTTGATCAGGTTTTATACAGTAATTAATGTATATTTCTATACAGTAATGATATTTCCTTAATTGCTGTCCATAAAAGAATAAAACTTTCGGTGGATTGTCAACTCTATTTACCATTTTGTGATTACTTCGTCAATATAATACTAACATTATGATATATAAAAATAACCTAACCTTTATATGTACAATTATGTGTTTAGTTATAATATCGAATGCATACAAATTTATTAACTTACGTAATGATACATCAATGTGTATTATTAGACCATTATCAAATACTCACACTACCATAATTCTTGATTTAGTTGATGACGATTTAACTTTAACGAAATGTTATCAGCCAGAAGTGTTTAGTACTTTCATAACATTTAAAGGCGACCAAGCACCATATAATATAACGAGAAAAACATTTGAATTATTTTTACATGACAGACCGAATATAATAATTATAACAGATTTAATTACAGATAAGATTATTAATAACTTCATTTTCGAAATTACGTTGCAGTATCAGTGGTCGTTAATGCATCTAATTATTACTAATACAAATATCAATTGCGAGCAAGCAGAACTGAATGGAGATATTTTACCAATCGCGAAGCGTTTACTTAACGACTTGTGGCACAGATATCAATTAGTTTATGCAGTCATTGAATTTCCTTTGGCCTGTCCAAGAAGATTTATTACATTCGATGGTAACAAGCGGCCAAATAATAATTTGTATAACAGAACTATAACAGTAATAGAAAAAGAAGATCTAGATGAAACTTTAAAGAAAAGTCAAAATACATTATCAGATGGCTTTCCATTAAAAATTAATTTGTTTCATCGGTTCCCCACGTCTTTTAAACAATGTCACAAGATTTACAACTACATGAAATTTGACATAAATATAACAAATGGATTTTGCGGGATGGACGCTTTAATAATGCACGATTTCATAAAAACATTTAAATTTAATGTTACATACGTCGATAATAACCGTACTAATAAATATGGTTATGTAGTATCAGGTCATGCTACTGGTAGCCTGGGAGCTGTGATACGCCGCGAAATAGATATTTCATTTAATTCTAGGTTTATTGCGATGTACATGAACAGTGGTTTCGATTTTCTTAATTACGTATCATCTGATTCCTTATGTGCTTTGACTATGATTCCAGATATAGTACCACTGTGGCAATATCCCATAAATATGTACAATTATAAACAATGGATGGCCGTTACATTAATTTTAATGACCATAGGATTAGTGACATGGTTGTTCAATAATTTTTTTCGTAATATAATTAGAGAAAAACTTTATAAACTGAATGTATATATAATAGAAACTCTATGGACTGGGATGTTTGGGTTTTTCTTAATGAAAAGATTTCAACGCTCTTTTTTAATTGCTATATGCTTATTATGGTCCATAGTCTTTAGTGCCAAGTATCAAGTAAGTACATCCCTGTTTATTTTTCTTAATTCCAAAAGTAGCTGTAACGTATTTAGTTTTAATACGTATAAATAGCGGACTATATAAATAAATAGCGTTTTTTAATTAATCTCTTATGAAAATAGGTGTTTCACAAGGATGTAATCTTGTTCCTGTTTTTTTAACTATTAGTTTGTTTATTTATTATATGCTTTTATACATTCACTTTAATATGCATTTATAGTTAACTAGTTCCTATTTACTATCCGGAATACTAATCAAGAGATAAATCTAAAGACATTCATTCCGATTTCCGTTTCAATTTTACACTCCAAACATAGAAATACAATGTATAGATGTCCAGATTGTTGCACTTGACTATATTTGTGACGTCATTATATTTGCTACAACGTGGTAGTGACGCTATACTAATAATCTTAAGTCTAGCATAAAATTCTGAATTACTTATTTTAATAAATTATGTACAACTTTGATTGGAAAGTTTCTTATTCGGTCTTTCTTTATTGAAACAACAAATAAAATAATAGACTTACTGTAGTTAAGTAGAATTTAAATAACTTTATTGTCCAAATGGGAAAATGGTACAAAAGCCGGTACTTAGTTTTTTTTTTTAAACTAATGTGGCTGTTATTAATACACTACCCTGATTTCGTAATTTGTAACAAAGTTTTTTTGGTTCCAATATATCTTATTATTATTATTAATGCTAGCATTAAATAGTAGAGAATGTTACTAGTAGAACTCTTTCAATATCAATATATATTCTTTCAATAACATATGTATATGAATGTATATATTGGTAGATACCTTATTACACATTATTTTTATTTTTATTGTGGTATCTACCTCCAGCTTACAATCTTGCTAGCTTGCAATTTCGGCCGTGAATTAACCTACCTATAATTCAGTCTGAAAAGCGAAGTATGTAGTGTAATTTTTGATGTAAGAAATACAGATATTTAACATATGTAAGATTATTATGCAAAAGTAGACTCTTTTAGATTTTAATTAAAGAATACACTCACTAGTTACTCTTTAAATAAATTCCAATCGATCGATATTGATATTGGCTCATTTCACACTCTCGAATTGTAATATTAGCGACATAATGGTTCTATAATGTTCTAATAGATGCATATCAGTGTAACTTGCCAATGCAAACTTTTGCAGAGGGATTCCAATTTTAACGTAATTCCTAATTGTTGTTTCATAAGTATTAGATTGGATTGATATCGATATTAGATTCAAAAGTATGTCTGCTGATCTCTTAAAATGCCGCTTATGTACTGTATGTGCTTCCTTTCCCGTGGGTGGCGTAAGGGAAGGCGAGGAATGAGTAACAGCGTCCCTCTTAAAATACCTCTGAAGCCTAACTGTGGTTGCCAATCTACCTGCCAAGCGTGACAACTGTTGGCAAAATTCCTCAAAGAGAGGCTTATGTTCAGCAGTGGACAGTTAAAGCCTGATATGATGATTGCATACACAGCAATCAAAATCATAATAGACATAGACAAATTTTATAAATTAGTTATTTCTTTTGCAGGGTCATATAAACTATATGTTTACAACTTTAAGACGATATGACCAATTTAGAACGCTTCAAGATATATGCGATTCTAACATAGCAGTATACACCTCTCCTGGCATTCTGATGCTACTCAATGCTGAAACCGTGGATAATTCTACTAACGATGTATTTACAACAATTCTAAAGCGTTTGAAATTATTTTCAGCTAACTCTAGTACGTACATAACTACAACTAATAGTACCTACTTAATTTTTGTCTTTCTTGTATATATGTATGTTACGTTTAAAGACCGAAAACTCTTATTAAGCAAAAAAATAGCTCAAATGTCGTGGTGGTCATGTTTGTTCTTTAATGGATGATAAAGGAATGGTAATCCCATCTGCGCTATCAATACAGTGTATATTGAGGCGCACCAGTCAATTAGCCAATCGTGACAAATTCAACGATAAATTAGTCACGATGGTCTCCAGGGGGAACCGCGTGAAGGTCGACTTGATAAGGTATATTGATAGCAATGGAAACTAACCTCCTCAATACTATAAATCCCTTTCCTCCCATAACGATCATGTTATACGACCACAACATGTTACGACAATGAAGAAAAACCATGACACGTGCTAAGCATTTGTTGTTGCATGTCACGACGGACAGGTTATTATTGTCGGCTCAACGATACATTAATATAGCAGTTTTATTTATTACTTCTCTAAGTTAATAGTTAAAAATTATTTGATATACCGATCTGAAAAATATTTTTTTATTGAGCCTATAGAAATTTTATCAAAATTGGTTTCGAAATAACAGTTTAATTTTCAAATCTACGTAACTAGTTTTGCCTCAATTAAAGTAAATTTTTTTAGACAACAATCCTAAATAAATAAACTGAACTAGATTGATAAATTTTACATTCCGACATCTCTTCTATCTAGGCCGAGTGCGTTCCCCGTAGGAACTACCTACTTTTTTTTTTATTGGTGATAATGGAATGGTAGCCTCATCCACGCTATCGGTATACACTGGCAGGACACCAGTCAGAGATGATAGGTGAGGATCAAGCAAGTCAGTTAGCCCATCGTGACGAATTCAACAAGAATTCTTCACGATGGTTTCCAGGGGGAACCACGTGGAGGTCGACCTAATAAGGTATATTATTAGCAATGGGGCTGTCAAATCCCATTGCTAACAATCCCTTTCCCCCCAGGAACTACCTATTATCTGGACATTTGTAATATCGAAAAGAATACTAGGTTCCTATTATGTGGCTTTCCAAACCCAATTGTTAACTCAGTGGTTTACGATTAAAAAATATTTTCGTATATGACAATTGACTCTTCTTACATTGATAATAATTAATATTTTAAAGGTTACACGGTTGAGGAAAAGAATATGGCAATGATCCGAAGGCGAATAGACATTACTCTGGAAATCCTTGTAAACCATACAGACAAAGACGGCAGGCCATCATTATATGTTATTAACGATTGTTTCCGTAATTTCTATTTATCTTATATCGTTAGATCAGGTAAGAAAATCCTCGTACTATTACTGTGTGCATTATTACTGCATGGTATGGATGCCACCATTTCACAGATTCACTGAAACTAGAGAAAAAAATTACTAAAGCAATTTACGGATTCAACAAAACAAAGCCATATTTTAAAGAAGATAAATATGAAAGTGGATGTCCATCTATCTTCTCCTTTTCTTCGAATATTCCCTTTATATTCCTGAAGAAAGAGACTATGTAAAAAATAATATGCATAAAAGAGGACTGAGCCCGGATGTGACGACTGATGTGTGAAAAAGGCATCCTGTGTGTCCAAATCAGTGGCGTAACTATACCATTTGGGGCCTGTGGCATTTTTTTTTTGTTAGGGCCCTATAAATAAAAAACAATACTTTTCATATAAAATAAAATACTCAGGTACAATGAAAAAAAAATCTGATATCGCGGCCCCTTAAGCCGGGGCCCTTTTGGGCGGGGGCCCGTGGCATTCTGCCAACCCTGCAACCCTATTGTTACGCAACTGGTCCAAACAATTGGAAAAAGAAAAGGAAATGATAATTTGTTTGTAGAAATTTAAAGTAGTTACTACATAGACGTTGGCTTGAAAATCTTACATAGTGTATCAATATGCAATATCCATGTAGCACTTTCTTCTCTTTCAACCATTAATTTGTACATGCACACTGTAATCTGTTCTTCGTATACTAATTTGTCCTAAATTTTCAGGATTTCTTTTTACTTCACAAATACAAGACTTTATGATGCGAATGGTCGAAGCTGGCTTTCCAGAAAAATACTATAAGTGGACCAGTTTCACACTGCGTTTAGGTGACATCTTACACAACCCAACGTCGGAACCTCGTCTGTTTACTAAGATCACTTTACAGGAACAACGAATACCATTCGTACTACTTATAAGCGGTTATATCGTGTCTACCATCATATTTATGGTAGAGAAATGGTGGAGTAGTCATAAGTTGAATATTATGCAAAATGAAAGTTCTCAATTTTGAAAAAAAAAAACTCAAATATAGATTTATTCTAGTTAATGTATACATTAACCGATTCCAAAAATACGTTATATTTGTTATCTATCTTTTTATTTCCTCATAATTCTAATCTATACAATAATTTAAATCCAAATGGCTGGATAAATTTTAATTATTAATATATCCATAGTTAGGTTTATATAGCCAGTTATTATAAGCCAACTTCGTAAAGGGTTTATCATATACCTACAAATGTATAAACGAAACTGTGAGAAAACATAATTAGAAATTGTGTTTCATGAAAAAAAAATTTAAATTGTGACAGAACAAGTTGTGCGGACAAGTAGGACTTATCTAGTATTTCAAGGTAGATCGAAAGTATTGGAATGATAAAGGAAAAATAATAAAACGTCATGTTTTTATCGCCTTTAATTCCAAAATATTTTTTCCCATTACCAATAGATTACCATCAGATACTTAATCTCATTAATGTTCTAGTAGATTATGGCAAGTTTCGATGTGATTTAAAAATTTATAAAGCAAAGGACCAGTAATTAATATCACTTATCTATTAACAAAGTATTATAACTTAAACCTAAACAACATAGTGACTGTAAAAATCGACATAATTATCATACAATATTGAGCCAAAGGTAAAAAACACATCACACATCATCATTACATCATCATCACCATCATTACATATCTATAATATATTAAAACAATAATATTGTCTTCTATATACCTTAATAATTACACAGTCTGGATCTGATATAAATATGATTCTCTAATTACCTCAGCCAAAGCTTATTGAAACTATACTATTATTAAACTCAACATATTGCTTAATAGTAATATTAAAAGAAAATAAAAGATTGTATCAAAAAAATACCAATTTAAATTGTGACAAATTTTTGATTAAAAACTAAACTACAGAACAAATTTTGATAAATTTTTTATGGAGCCAAAAAAATAGCCTGTAAATATATCCTTTCAGATAATAATTTTCCAAATTAGTTTAAAATTAACGGAGCTGTGATGTAACAAATATAAAATAATACGATCAAACTTCCTCCGTTTTAAAATCAGTTGAAAATTTAAAGTATTCATACCAAAGCTGGTATACTGGCAACGTCTGCATTACCAATAAATTATCAAAAACATTTAAATAATTTGAACGTTTATAAATTATTATATCAAAATTATTCTAATAACTAAGTTATATGTTAATCATACAATAACATTCCTATTATGCTATTACTGAAAATTTGGGTTGTCATAGCACAAAAAGTATTTGAAGGCCTCAAAAGCAATTTATGAAGCAAGTACATAATTTCTAGTTGTATATAAAGAAATTTATATACAATTTATTCCATTATTATTATTTACTATCACAACAAATTTTAAATGAAATAATATCAAATAGAAATATTGAAAATTGTTCGTGTAAATTGGCAGATAATTTCGAAGTAGTCATTTTTGCTACTGGTATGAACACTTGACATGAAAAATAAATAATAATAGATTTTTGTAAATGTGAACCAATAAATGACCTCCCCCTTTTTAAGTTGGAACTTTTAATAAAAAGACACAATATTAATTTACTTAGATGTAAAATAAACTAGATTTATAAATATACGCATATGTGTATGAATTGATGTATTTTTTTTTTTAGTCCTATATTACTGACTAAACAAAGCGACAAATATTTTTTATAATCAATAAATCCATTCTGTGGCCATTACATTATTGAGCAAACCCGTTATCGTGAACAAAATGTATTAAGAAGTAGTAATTTCTTATTTATATTACTATGCCAAGATCCGAATATAATCTCAATAGCTTTGGCATATCAACGATTGGCTATAGTACTGACACAAATAGCTACCTACTTAAGTGAGCAAAATCGTATGACGACCAATAGTAAAAATAATACATTGGTTTTTAATCTTTTTAATACATAATATATTAATAATATCTTGCATCTATTATTAATACATATTGTGTTGTTGTGATATTGTGTATTTTCACAACTACACAATATCTAATGGTTATTAGGTTTAATCATAACCATCTCACTCTTTGAATTATAAAATATCATTGTCCAAGGAATAAAACCTAATAGGTTCATTGCTTTCTAATTTATCTTAGATCCAAACAATATTTATTTGTTGGTATCTAACATAAATAAGTAATTAGGTTAGTTCTTTATAATATACGATTTTTTATATTATATTTTATATTTGGCAAGAGCATGTAACAAATGTATATAATTGTTTTAATATTTGCAATTACAAAACAACAACAAAAAAAAACAAATTGTATAAAAAAAATATAAGATAACGATTATTTGGAATAGTTTAATTTTTCAAGACATCATGGTCTCTATTTATTTAATTACGTATAAAATTACAAAAACAAGAACCATTAGAAAAAAAATCATAACCTACTAAACTATGTCAAATAAAAATAACAAAATATATTAGACTAAAATTGATGTAAATAAAGACTATCTTAACTACATGGAATGGTTAATGGTCATGGATGGGCTAGGAATTTTAAAGGGAGACTATTAATAATAAACCTTAAAAGCTTCGCATGCACTAAATAAACTTGCTTTTGATATATTAGTTGCCATATTCACGTCTACTCCTCAATTGGAAATTGCCAATGGCCAAAATCGCTGAGATGAAGATTGGACATTTCAATGACTACAAATATATATTATTTGTAGTTATATTATTTGTCTCATACATATACGCCTACAGATGTATATCTTTACTGCTTTCTTAGTAAGAAAACTCACAAGTCCTAATGTGTAGAATCTTTGGTATATATTTATGTTGATTTTTTATGTTCTTTTTTCCTTTTATTGTGCACGTTCATTTATTTTTATTGTTCTCTATTTAATTTGATTTCTAAAGGATAGAATAAAAAAATTATATATGTTTGCCTAAATTGTTAATCATAGCAAACATCGCAGAGAATTCTACACAAAACAATATTTTTTTTAATAATATCACGAAAATTACGACTTAACTGTTGAAAAATCATCCGGCGAGTGTACTTGGTCGCATCAGCAGTACTTCTCGACATGAATGGAGTCACAATTTCGTTGATAAGCGTAAATCGACTACACGAAATAATGTAACCCATACAGTAGCACTTACATCTGTATCTATCATACATTAAAACCGATTCAGCATTTATGTTTTTTCTTCTCAGCTGGGTAGTATGTTTATGATATTTTGAGAGTCTTTCTTATGTTTTCTCCCTTATGTTTTCAATCGTATAACATATTCACAATTTATATTGTGCTTACATAATAACGTATTATATCACAAGTGGTCTTTATTATGTCACCCCGCAGTCTACTATTCTTTGGTACATTCTCATTTCTGATTATAAACAATAGATGTGGTCTCTGTAAATATTTATAAATATAGATCAAACATGGACGTAATTTAAATATAACAGGAATGATTGGTTTAAATGATTATATATACACTATTACATATTTCTCAGTACCTACCCAAATAATCTAAGCACCAAAACACCAATTACTAGTTTACAATATATTTACATATGCCAATTATATACAAATAAATATCTTGGGGAAGGAGTATTTACGACTAACTAAATATCGAATAATAATAATTGAACTATTTAACTATAAAACTATGGCATGTAAGCCGCAGAATGTACATATTTAATACACACATGTACATATGTATATTAAAGTATAATATCGAAACCTAATGTAATACCGAAACCCAATAAGCATAAAGAAACAGAAAACGTCACCTTGTGAAATATTTTTTTTTTATGTGAACACAAAATAAGCTAACTCAAAAATGTTTACTATTAAATTCTTGTGACTTTGTGTGGATTTTCTTTGTAAATTACTATACGTTAATACTTTAAATACACTGCGAGAACGAATGGTCTTGGAGAATTGAAAGTGTTTATTACTGAATCAAGCATAACGAGCTAACTGGAGTTCGGTTAAAATTTGTAACCAGATGAGCCATATTTTGAACTAAGAACATCGCAACGTCAGAATTATTGTGTGAATTTTTGAAAATAATTCAATAATATTTAATATTTTTGACTCATTATTCAAACAATGCTCTGTCAACAAACTAAGTGTCACTCACGTACAGAGCATTTAAATAATCAATCAGAAATATTAAACGTTTTTAATGTAAGCTAAACTCATTTTTTACTATAACATTACACGCAAATTCTCTATATGACTACGCACTTTTGTCTTTTACAATTCAGAGTTTAAACAATCTACCAAGACTAGTATGAGGTACTTCCAATGGTGGGATTATCACATTCTATATTTCGTAAAACTATATAATGGACAACGTAAAATATCTACAATATAATAAAAAATAAAATTGGCAAGTTTTGTTTACATTGTAACTGATATTAAGAGAGTATATTTAGTAAGAACAGCAACATCGCAATCTAACGTAAATTCTGTTTTTTTTTTCATTACCATTGTGTTATATTTTCATTGTCATTGTTTAATATATACAAAACATTACCTCTAACAATTAAAAACTATTGAGCTAACATTGTGTGTAAAGTTTGACAACTGCACAATTAATGTTACGGTCATAATGGTATCTTATTTTAAGTATGTTCTGTAATACGTTGAAGGTAACTGTAATATAGATTTAAAAATACAACTTGTATAGAATTATTAAAATTAAAAACATCTAAACCTGACAGTAAATAACGATGATGCCGTCCTCATCAAACATATATTTCTCATTAAAAATATACGTGGGATAACAAATTCATTCACAAAGTAATAAATAGAAAGAAAACAAATATATCACAAATACCCAATTTTCTGTTACTAAAGTTATAGCTACACAATGTTACCTATTTCCTGGTCTCTAAACAAGAATACCTTGTCATGAGAAACCGGACAACGAACATCTAGGCACCCAGAACCCGCATATCGGACCCAATTGAAAAATCCTAATTACCTAAATTATTCACCTAATCGAAACCAAATCACGGAACGTATTTCAATATAAAGCTTCAACCAATTTAACAACCTACAAATATACCTACCAACTGAACACCTTCGGGTACTGAGAAGCCAAATATCATCTGCACATTGGAAAGCACACGACAATAAAGGCCAACAGAAAAATAAGCCACCGCTATTTAGGGTAAACGCCATTTTTGTTTTCGGCTGAGATTTTAAAACTATTCTGTGGAGTGACGGAGCTGCTGCTCGAGTCCGATATGGTCGCGATGAATTGTGGGGGCTTATAGTTGGCATACCACCCACACATTCTCTTCACGGCGTCCTCCCATCGAGCCATGGGGACTTCGTACGACTTCCTAACCTGCGGACGGGGTTTGAAAACGCATCCAACTTTGCGTATTTTCCTTAACGCGTCCTTAGATTCCCATATACCTGAAAATGGAAAATAAAACAATAACATATAAATATCACGATTATAAAGTCGGATGGGGTTGTGACGCATTTGTCGATTGCTACCACATTTCTCTATATATTTAAAGCTTTTTTTATTACATGCTAACGATCCGACGCGGATCCGCCCCGGTACAGAGAATTTTCAAAAATAGTATATGGTTTATGTTATTCGCTGATTATATAACTTTCTATACGTGATATATATATATATATATATATATATATATATATATATATATATATATATATAGATATATAGATATATATATATAGATATATATATAGGAAATCAAATAGAGACCTCACCTAACTGTAAGCCCACGATATGCGCACATCCAAGCGAGGACATTTCTACGTCCACCGGCCTCTCCACTCGCAGCCCCGTAAGATCCGCTATAAGTTGAGCTATAAAGTCGTTATTGGACACTCCACCGTCTAATCTGAAAATAATATGACTTTAATCAATCACAAATATACATTACAAAGAAAATTTCAAACCATAATTATTGAAATATTATTTTCATATATAAATAACATTTACACATCAATTCCCAGTTAAAAAATTGTCAAGTATGTAAACATAAATAAAAAATGTTTATGAATATTATTGTGCGCATTATATTAGACACGTGTTATTGGACGGCCAGTGTTTACTGTCTTATTCATAACAAATCTAATTATAGATTTAAAGAGCTCTTTAGCTAAAATGTCAACAAACGTTATTTAAGGTTTATAATTGAGTGTTATTTTTTAATATTATCACAAATTTTCAACTGATTCATATTTTAGTTAATAAAATTATTTTAACTGAGAAGAAACTCGGCTGTTGCTTTTTTAATAACAGCTTATAATTAAATCTATTTGAACAAAAATTTTTATTAATTTATTAAAGCTTTCCTATAAGAGGTTTCCTATTAAAAAAAAATATCAAATGTCATCATCGTTATTAAATAAATCTGTTTTTTTTTTTAAGAATAAAATGAGTAAATAGTAAGGTGAGTATAGTGTAATAATTTACCAATTTTTATTGTATAAAATACCATTCATATCTCATTATATCATTCATTTTTGTAACAATTCTATATTTTCACATATATGGATAATGAGGGCATGATAAGATAATGTGCCCATAACCTTGATACTCAATATTAATAAACAATTAATGCCTATAGATAAGTACATTTAAACTATTATAGATTTACAATAAGAGTATCAGTAGGATATCATTGTGATAAAATATTACAAAGTCTCCATATATATATATATATATATATATATATATATATATATATATATATTAGATTTATAAAATCAACAAAGACTCTAATGTTCAACACTGGTCTTAAATTAGCTAATCTTATTAGAAACTCGCTAGCTCATGATTATAATCCCCAAAGGAGTAGACAGAGCCATTTGTTGACTGTTGATGTTTTGGTGACCGTAACTTATACACGAACTTTGGTTACAAATGCAGCCATTACAGTGCACAGAGATATAACACCTTAGTCTTCGAGAATAGGAACGCATGAAAAATTTTCGTACCATGGTCATCATAGTATGCTCTGAGGTATCTATGGTGTTGATCATGTCTATAGAGGTCCCTTACCACTTTCGATTGAAATGGGCCGTCAGCTTGTTTGCTATTGTAATATAGCCATTAGTTATGGGATGTTTTATAAAAAAACAATGATAAATAATGAGGACAATAATTATTTTATGTGATTATACCTAATACCGGAAAAACGTAATGTTGTCTCGGCTCGTACGCACGCGTACAGTTGTGCGGTGCGGAACGCGAGCGACTCTAGTACAGCGCGTACTAAGTGCGCCCGCGTTGTCGACGGTTTCATGCCGATGAAACCAGATGCCGCTGTACCGTCGTTGTATGGTGGCTGGAAAAAGAATTATTAATCTTACTAATATAATAAAACTGTAACTGGACGATGTACAGACATGGAAAATATTTAAAAAATAATAAAGTAATGGGTTTTAATAGAAGCAATACAAGTTAATACAAAATTTTAGAAATTTTATCTATCTATGTATATGTTGTTCCGGCTTCACATAAATTAGTATCTCTCTATCAATATGTTATACTATCACAAGATAATGGCTAAATGATGTTTAATTAAAACTATTGGATCAAATTGAATGCGATTTTCACTATTGTGTAACCTGAAAGTCTAACTTAAAAACTGATGTCAGTTTTATTTTGATACACCATCTAAAAGTGATCTATTGTATTGGCTTCCCTACTTTAGAAATCCTCGCGTATACTATAGCGGACAAATAACTAGTAATTATTTATGATTTTAATAATAATAATATCTTTGAAAATATTACATAGCGGCGGCTGGATCACAATTAAGCAAGTTTTTACTATGTGTATTAGACAACTATAACACATACCTAATGCTTTTTGTAACTATAATACACCAGTAAAACAATATAGTAGATCATCCCGAATTAGCACGGCTTTTTAAAAAACGAGAACTTTTTAAAATGAAACAAGCAGTTTTTGTGTTATCCATTACAAATATATAAAAAAAATGAGATCTTCAATGTTTATAATATAAGTTTAGGTAGATATTGCTCATACCATTTCAATCTCAATTTGCTCTATTGAATACTTGACTCAATAAAACAAATTGATCCCGTAACCTGTCATTATCTCTTCATGTGACACGAGGTTATTCGTTTACTTAATACTAGCAGTATCCCGCAGGTTTCCCCAGGTGAATCAATACATAAAGTATCCTATATGCTAAGTTAGAATATAACTCAAGTATTCGTGCACCAAATTTCACTCAAATCTCTTCAGTAGTTTTTGCATGAAAGAGTTACGAACATCCATCCATTCATCCGTCCGTTCATTATAAACTTTTGCATTTATAATATTAATACAATTGTTTATTACGCAATCTCGTCACGGACAGCATGGATTATAATGGTTCTTTTTATAAAATGTTTTCTCATAGGCTAGTCCTGTTTTAACTTTGCCACCACTACTTCGTTTTTAGCGAAATGAATCTCAAATTTATTTTAATAGTACTTTGTGTAAATTTTTAAATTTGTAATATTCCATCTGGAAGTAGGTAACAATATGTGTATTATATATTTGTTTATTTCAGTATCAACACTATCTAATACAAGAGACATAAAACCAGTCCTTACTTGCGACAATCGTGTACAGGATGTCATTGGCAAACCTTGGCCGCATTTGACCCCGCAATTGTTTCATTCTAAATTTCGTATTTATAAATATGAATTTTAAGTATTTCTTTTATTTATACCATGTTTTTTTATACTTTTTTTCATATACATTATAACTATTTATACTTTCGTAACTTCAATGACTACGATAAGTATAGGTAGTTTTTTTACTAAAATATTATGTTTGAGAAAACTTGTATTAATAATTTTTAAATAGTGATAATTTAAACAGTCACATGAACTTATTGTCAGGTTTATAACAATGTTACAGGAGGAAAGGGAATTCTTTTTATTTTATTTTTTTTATGGTTGAAAATGGAAAGGGATTGTTAGTAATGGAAACTACCCCCTGGAAACTATCATGGTTAATTCCTGATGAATTCATCATGATGGGCTAACTGGCCTGTTTTCATTCTCATCTATCACCCTTCACTGGTGATCCGCCAACGTATCCCGTTATACCATACCATTATCACCCATCAAAAAAAAACATTTATTAAGCTATTACTGCAATAATGATTTCGTTACAAGCGTTAAAAACTTTATGCTTAAAAGCATGTGGAGTGTGAATACAACAGCAGTACAGCTATTATATACATATACATACAGTATATTATATACAGTACAGTACAGCAATTATATACACGACCATAAAGAAGTCAACAGGAGGACATTCATGACCGGTTTCAAGCCGGTTACTGCATGGTTTATAGATGAAATTAACATAATTATGCAGGAATTATATATTTTACTACATTTATTTCGACGTTTTAACCAGCCCTCTAGACAAGTGACGAACGAATCTAATGATACGAGGTAGAGGCGAAAGGAATTGGTATTAATGGGGCCTAACAGCCCCATTGCTAGCAATATACCCTATCAAATCGAACTCTACGCAGTTCCCCCTGAAAACCATAGACGATAATTTGAAAATTATTGTAATCTTTTGGAGGAAACAATAAAGACTATCTATCTATCTATCCAATTGTTGTTAAATTCACCACGAGGAGCCAACTGACCTGCTTTCATCCTCACCTATCATCTTTATTCTTCTACCCGTTCCTTATTTTTTTTATTGTAATAATATGTATAGAATACAACTCACCCCAAGTCCACTGAAAGCCGGTATAAAGTAAACGCCATCTGAATCTGGCACGGACATCGCTATTTCAGCAGTGTCCTGGGGATCGTCGAACAAACCTATGATAAAAAAAAATAAAAACAACATTAACGAAAAGTGAATAAATTTAATCCCATTACTTGCAATAACGAAATAAAAGTGCGTTTTATTAAATAAAAAAATTTGAAACCAGTCATCAAATTAGCTGACTAAATTTTGACTAGTTTTTGATACTCACAACCTCGTTTTTTTTAAGTGGGTTGAAAAATAGTTCCCAATTCAAATATAAAAAATCGACTTAATCCGGACATATTTTAGTGTACCCTCAAAAATTGATGTTTCGTTATGATTTAGAAAAAGTATGTCAAAATTTAGTCAACCAAACGTCACAAGTTTTCCCCACCAGCGTATCCCGATAGCGCAGGCGGGGTTACCATTCCATTATTACCCATTAAAAAAAATTCACTTAAGCTGAATTTGACCTCCCCAGACAATCAATGATTTATCTAAATAATCTAAGGTCACACATCAAATATAAACAAATATCTTAAAACCAACATACCTTCTTCTACACTTGTAATGGTGAAACGTGGATGTAAAAATAGTGTACTTACAAATGTAAGGTTTTTACACGCCGCACACTTAGACATTTTTTTCGACACATTCCGCCTTATGATAAGCGACTAACGTGTGTGTGGCATGGATAGAATCAGGGATATTTTTTAAGTTAATACAATCCTTTCATGTAACCTAAATATATTAATTTTTACTTTTTTCCATACGAAATACCGAGTGTACCTACATAATGTACATGTTAAGGTATCAATAGGTAACATACACTTTTTTATTTATAGTATTAGTAATAATTAGCTGTATTTTTTAGCTTTACCGACATGATTTACTATACAAAATATCGTAAATGTTATTCAAGGACACGGCATATTTTTAATATATGATTCGTATCCGTTCAGTACTTTTAAATTGATTGAGTTTCTAACATAAAAATTTTTACATTTATAATATTACCAAAATTATGTACCTAGTGCCTGCGCCCATTTTATGATAGAAGCTGTGTCATTGTTGGCACCTTCCGCCGAATAGACCAACTCCTCTCCCAGTCTCCATCCCACAATGGGGTACAATCCGGACACGCTTGCGTGAGGTGAGGTTCCAGTGTTAATGTTGAAGAATGTGCCCGTTCCCATGGTCAACTTGACATCTCCTACGTCGAAACAACAAGAACCCCACATTGACGCTGTTTGATCTGCCATCTGGTAAATAAAAAAATTATCTTGATATAAGAATGACAATATTGGATGTATAGCAGTTTAACAGACCGTCTTTTCTTTAAATGTTCACAAATTCGATTGCAGCACATTACAATATATATATATATATATATATATATATATATATATATATATATATATATATATATATATATATATATATATATATATATATATATATATATATAAGGCGGGGGGAAATGAATCGTTAGTAATGGGATCGAACAGCCTCATTGCTAGCAATATTCATTATCAAGTCGACCTCAACAAGGTCCCCCTAGAAACCATCGTGCTTAATTATTATTAAATTGAATAAATGAAAATTTATTTTAATAATCCACAACACTTAATATACTTAGACTGCAAGTAATAACAACATTAAAAAAAATTTAAGAAAAAGGTTTACATTTATATATTATAGAAAGTGTAGTTGAAATCGGTCAGTTTCATGCAAATAAAAAAGGATGCCAATTCAGCTTAAAGTTCCTGCAGAAGCAGTAATGCTAATTTTTAATTAGCACCTCATCACCTAGCCCGGTCTATCAAGATTATAAATTAACATTTAGAGAAATATAATACACAAAGATACGCAAAACAATAGGTAAAAAAAAAAAAAACAAAAAAATATCAGTAAAAACAGCAATAATAAAAGAAAAACAAGAACAAAAAAAAGTGTAGAATGTGTAGAATAAAACAAGTATCCAACCCTTGACAGTGACTGTACGATAATTCACAAATTATATTTAAAAGATGATTTACTGTTACATTCTGTTCATAGCAACGCATGGGGAATATCATGGGCAAAACTGTATATTATGTCCATGGTACTGCTCGTGTGTAAAGGCGACAGTTACCACTTTCCAGCAGGTGAGCAGTCAACTTGTTTGCCATTCTAAGTTAAATAAAAAAAAACATTCTCTCAAGGGTGGAGGTAAATTATTCCATATCTTAGGTACCTTATAACGACAACTACCCCTCACGCCTGCTGTCCTATGTTTAAGAATACACATTAAATATGCCGAAGCACAAAATTCGTAACAAGGGGTCAACTAAACTGCCCTCATCCTAACCTAAGATGTTTCACTGGAGCCCCGCCAGTGTCTACCGATTGTGCTAGCTAGGTTATCATTTAGGTCTCATCAATTAAAAAATATATACGAGATACAACCTCGTAAATTATCATGTACATGACATAAAATGAGATAGCAACGTCGGATGTCTTGTTCTTTCTTACACGTGTGATGAATAAAACGTTTGTATTGATATACTCTTTTGTCGCTTGTCCAGATCCACTAGAGGTTTTGTTTATAATACTTAGAGAGGTAAACAAGCTGAAAATTCGCTCGATAGACAGTGGTAACCGTCGTCTATTCACACGAATAACGTTGACATCACGGAATTCTCTGTACTGTATAGTAACCATTATGCTTTGTAATTCCTGAAGATTATGGTGTTATGCCTCTGTATCTTGTAATTTCATCATCATCGTAATGAATACACCTTGAATTCAGCGCGACGGTTTCCAGAGAGTACCACGTGGAAGTCGACCTAATAAGGTATATTACTAGCAATGGGACGTATTACTAACAATATCTTCCCCCTGGATTCCACCTTCGACACCTTTATGTCACATCTCTGCTCTCGACGGAGTAATAATTTTCTTCTACCCATCCTATTACTAGCAATATGCTCTTATCAGGTCGACCTCCCAGTGGTCCTCTCTGAAAACTATCGTGCTGAATTGCAGGTATATTCATCACAATGTGCTAACTGACCTGCCTCTCTGATGTCAGTGGATACAGGTAACTCAGGGCCTATCATTATGGCACTATAAGGAGAAATGCTTAAGGGATAAATAACGATCGATATGATGATAATGATACGTAAACCGGGTCTTTTGTGTTCTTTACGTGATTCTATATGAATTGACCTTTTATCTTTTTCGAAGTAATTGTTTTGTCGTGCATTGGAGAAAAGTGCAAGTTTACTAAAATACCAATCATCGGCCTCTTTTATTAAATAAGACTGATCTGATGTCTTGTTCATTTAAAATCAAATTATATGCAATACTTGTCATTTGTTTAATATTTAATTAATACACAAAGCGTCCTATCGCTTTATTCTATATCTTTACTTAAAATTTTCCAATAAATAGTTATCTTGATCGATTGATAAAATTGAAGTCAGTAAACTGACTTTAACTTTATCAGACTACTTATTATTATTATTGCTTATTATAAGCCCATAAATCTGATTAATAATTAAAGATTATTACAGTTAAGCAATGTTAGATTATAAAATTAAACAAATAATGTGATTTAACCAAAAACGTATTTATAAATAAATACAGACAATAGAATTACGTACAATGACATGAAAATCTCAAACAGATGAATTAGAGGATGCCATCTTACTAATATAATGAAATTGTAACTAAATGATGCAACGATATCTGTACATGGGAAATATTGAAGAAAAATTAATATAAGGGGTGTTAATACGACTAATAATATGGCAAAACAATAACTTTTATAAATTTTGTCTGTTTGTACGTATGTTTCTTCCGGTATCAAGTAAAAACTACTGCACCAAATCAGATGCGGTTTTCACAATTGTATTCTGGAATATCTAACTTAAAAACTGATGATTTTCTATCTTAATACACTATCGAGAAGTGGTCTCTCTCATTTGTTTTTCCTACTACTACTCCTATTCTGAAATACACGTGCGTACGTTCTGAAATGTCCGCTACTACACGTATACTCGTAAATAATTATCGTAAATATGTAAGAAATTTTACTGCCGTTATTTATCAATTGGGTTATTTATGTAAAAAAAAATGGTGCTTATCAATGGACAAACTAGGGTCAGGAGTCATTCAATTTATTAAAAAGAATAATTAGCGTAAAATAAAATCGTTGTTTTTTTTTTTTATTAATGTTCTATATACTTACATACACAATGTATCTTGACGTATCTATATTTAATTATTTAATGCATTTGTATGAAGACACTCTATCTATATAATCTAATATTATTCACAGTAGTAGAGATAGTAGTAGAGATTCAATATACACTGACTTTTCTAAAGCATTTGATAAGATGAACCATGAACTTATGTTAAAAATCTTACTTCATATGGGATTCATGGGATTCGTATCATATATATTTAATAGAAGTCAAATAATTATTATTAAAGGTTTTCAATATACCCCTGTTATAGTAATCTCAGGAGTTCCTCAAGGATCGCACCTGGGCCCCTTATTGTTTATTTTATTTATTAACGACCTAGTACTCTATAAAAAGTGAATAATTGTTTTATGCTGATGATCTAAAAGTTTATCGCATAGTTAATGGTATCAGAGATTGTTTGCAGTTACAGAAGGATCTTGATATTTATAAATGGTGTTGTGCCCATAATATGTATATGAACATAAAAAAATGTAACACAATATCTTTTGCTTCAAGATCCCTAAAATTTATATTTGAATACGACATGAACAAGCAAAAACTTAAGCATAAAGATGTAGTTAAAGATTTAGGAATAATGTTTGATTCCAAATTATCTTTTCGTGACAATTTAGATTATATCATCAGTCACTGTAACCAGTTGCTTGGTTCATTGTACAGAGCAAATAAAATTTTTAATAAATCACACAGACTATTTATACAAAACACTTATAAGACCCGTTGTTGAGTATGATACTATAATATGGCCTTCTTATTACGCTATACATGAAGAAAATATTGAAATACAGAAAAGATGCCTAGCAACTACTTGTAGACGATATAGCTTAGTCAGGAAATTACGATCTTATTTTTCGCGAATTAAACACTTTAAATTTGCTAATTTATTATCTAGTAGACGATCGGCTAAATTAATTTACTTGTACAAAATTGTTAATTCTATGGTTGACTGTCCCTCGCTACTTAAATTAGTATACTTTAATACTAACAATAAATGTTGTAACTCCCGTTTTTTTTATGTGCCAAGCACTAGGAATAATGTTTCATTTAACAATCCAATTTTAAGAATGTGTCGCTCTTATAATAATCTTCAGCGCAGTAGTGTTCATCAAGATGGCGAAAAACTCGATGTATTTGGTCCGAAGTTCAGTAATTTTCGTCACGACGTAAACGTATTATTTTCCTCTGTAATTAGTTGATAGTCTCTTTTGTTGTTACATAAATGGATATTATATAAAACCGTAATATATACGCTGTGGTCTATGTATATATATGTATGATTATCCATGTATTACCTTTATAGTTGTTAATGTGTAAGTAAATTAAATATTTTTTTGTTGTATAAATTATATTGTATTTACATACTTATTTGGCTGTGTGTTTATGATTTGATCATGCTGTGTACGGATATTTTTGGAGAGTTAGCATGAACAAAACATTATTGTATTGTATAAATTAATATAACATTGTTAATTCTCTGTAATGTGTACCTAGCTACCAGAGGGAGACTTTGTACATAAGTCGATTGCTTGGGTATATCTCTCCCATTCGTGTTTCAACCGTAAAGCAGTTTCAGTTTGAAGGGTGGGATATGGCGTGAATTTACTGGGTACAGAGGAATAACATCTGAGTACTCAGGAATGGCAACGCATGGGGGGTACCATGGGCGAAACAGTATACTCTGTTATGTCCATGGTACTGCTCATGTCTATAGGCGACGGTTACCACTTTCCATCAGGTGGGCCGTCAGCTTGTTTGCCATTCTAAGTTGTATAAAAAACAAAAAACAAACGTATTGAAATAAAATAAAATAATAATGTTAATTGTTAAATAGTAATAATAACCCGGTTGTTTATATAAGCAGATAATTAAATAAGATAGAAATAAAGTATCTTGCAATTCAAAAAGAAGTAAGCTCAAAGTATTTTTGTGCTAGGTACTGTGAGGGCTACTAAGCATTTTAGACCTTATATTTGTGATAGAAAGTTTATAATTCAAACAGATCCTAAAGCGCTAGTTTATTTATTTGATAACAAGAAACCGAATAAAAGATTGACCAAGTTTAGATCGTATTTAGAGGAATAAGACTTCGATATTAAACATAAATGTGATTAAAAAAATTTAGCACCGAACGCATTATCGAAAATAATTATAATGCTCGATGAGTTAAAAAAATTTAACTCATGTTTTAAAGGCGTATTAATGCGAGCTCAGTATAAAAGAATTAATAAATCTGAGCTATTAACGAGATTTAAGGACACCAGGGTTGCACAAATCTCTAAAAAAACTACAAAGTTGTATGGAATTCAATGTCATAAGAAATACACGAAATATGTCTGTGTATGACAATGTATTTTTGTCGGACTCTACGATATACTTTAATCAAGATTTTCTACTAACAGTGGTACGCATAGACAAATCGTGAAGGGAAATTGAAAAGATATGCTAGAAATATAATATTATAGAAATAGTAATTATTAAAAATAATGATAATTAGTATCAAATTGAGAAGTCATATATGAAATATTGTGATATGACGCATTTACTTATATTGCAAGATTAAATGAGATTGTGATAAAATAATACATAACAATTAATAGATAAATGATATTTTTTTAATTACCTAATAAAGTATACGGACGATGAAAATAAACAGGGTAGTAAAATGTGAAAAATGGCTATATTTTTTTTCGGTAACTTCCTTTTTAGAAAAGTTTTTTTTGTACTACTTAGAATGGCAAACAAGCTGACGGCCCACCTGATGGAAAGTAACCTGATGGAAGGTAACCGTGGCCTATAGACATGAGCAGTACCATGGACAAACAGAGTATACTGTTTCTGTTACCCCATGCGTTGCCATTTCTGAGGACTCAGGTGTTATTCCTCTGTACCCTGTAAATTCACGCCATATCCCACCCTTCAAACCGAAACACAGCCATGCAGACACAACTGCTTTACGATTAAAACACGAATGGGATAGAGGTACACAAGCAATCGACTTTTGTACAGTCTCCCTATTATACGAGGTCTGTCCGGAAAGTTCGTATAAAAGTGTTCTGGAATGCGAGAAAGAGGAGTGGGGAGGCCAGGTAAGCGCAGGACCCCTTCCTTATGTCCCTAACAATGCTTCAGTTCTGGTCTGACCGCCGTGCGGTGCGAACTGGCTTGTCACGCCATCTGTGAAGTTACCTCTTAACGAAACCCCGTCGGCATGGAGCCCGCTTCCGTTGAAGAGCAGCGCGTCGTAATCAAGTTTCTCTCGAAACTCGGCAAGAATGGCCGTGAAATTTTTGCCGATCTCAGAACAGTTTATGGGGATGATGCTGTGAAGGAACCAACCGTCCACAAGTGGCTAAAAAGATTCAGAGAGGGCCGAGAAAGAGTTCGATGTTCGGGGGATTGTCCATCAAGAATTCGTCCCTCCAGGCCAGACAGTTGATGGAAAATTCTACGTCGATGTGCTCAGACGCCTCAAAGCTCGTGTGGCACGAGTTCGTCCAGAATTGGCGCGAGAGGGGCGTTGGATTCTTCACCACGACAATGCCCCTGCCCACACCTCTCTTGTTGTCCGTGAGTTTTTGAGTAAAAATTCCATTACGGTGACCGAACACCCCCCTATTCGCTGGATTTGGCCCCGTGTGACTTCTTCTTGTTCCCAAAAACCAAATTGGTACTTCGGGGGCGGCATTTGGGGGACATAAATGAGATAAAAAAAGCTACGACGGGGCAGCTGAGAAACCTACAACCAGAGGACTTTCAAGGAGCCTTCTCACAGTGGAAACGGCGTTGGCACAAGTGCATTATGTCACAGGGGGAGTACTTTGAAGGGGATAAAATTGATTTACCTGAATAATTGTAAAATAAAATTTTTAAAAAACTTTTATACGTACTTTCCGGACAAACCTCGTATTATATACATTATAAAATTTGTAAAATAAATATTATTTTGACTTAATCGCTCAAAAAATACTATATCAAATTGAAAACGGTTTCTTCAGTTGTATTTCTGAAGGTAGAACCTAAAATTTGGTGTATATTTAATCTTAATACACCATCTATAAGTGGTACATTTCATTGGTTTTCCTACTTCCAAAATCTAAGTGTACGAACTTAAAAAGTAATGAAATATAAAAAAAAAGGTATTATAAATATTTTTCATTTTTTTTTCACGTGCCAGCATATGAATTTAACCATACATAAAATACTAATACTTACACAACTGCGTATAGGTATCGCATGACCCCATATCGAAGGCGAGGTACTAGTAAAGTGATCACCGGCCGTGTCCACGACAGTGGGCAACGCTGACATCGGTATATTGAAAAACATGAGCGCCCACGCCGCCCACTGCATCGTAAACGGATCGAAGAAACCTGTGGCTGATGCCGAGGACACGTCGGTCATGTGCACTTTATTACCTGAACAACAAAAATCACTAAGATGTATAAAAAATTGGGGAAATTAGAAATGAATTTCTACACTATCTCTAGCGTTATTTATATACTTAGTTTTAATTTCACAGCATTTATTGCTTTATGCTTTAATTTTTTGAGTATACAATTACTGATTCGCCGTGTGGCCTAGCATAGAATGGGTCACCCCTTCCTTTCCCATGGGTGTCGTAAGAGACGATTAAGGAGATTTAATGGTCGAGGAATGTGCAGCAGCGTTTCTTTTAAAACATTACTAAAGCCTAAATACGGTTGCCAACTCGGCTGTCAAGCGACTGTTAGCAAAATCCCCCAAGGATAAGGCCTAAGTTCATCAGTGAGCAGTTAAGAGCTGATATGATGATTATAAATGACTGGTTACTGTCTTTGTAACTAATATTGTATCGTATATTATTATCAAAATGTATATATTAACATTCTTTCACCTGTCAGTTTATATAGCAACCAACAATCCAAAGAGCCAAACATGGCATCTTCATTTTCAGCTGCCTTTTTTAAAGCTGCGATGTTTTGTAACGCCCATGTCAGTCGTAGTGTCGTCTAAAATAATAAAAATTTATTATTTTTGCAATTACTTACAATAATAAATACTTTTAATTGCTATTTCCTTTCATATTTTTTTCTTAAATAGAAACTGTGAATACATAGTAAACTGTAAAAAAAAATAGGACAGCAGAACTGACTTCGCATTTTTTTATGTATATATATGTAATCCGATTTAGGGGTTTAGAGACCAAAAAAAATAAATTTGGAGAAGACAAAGTCTATGCAATACTAAGTGAATATATATCGTATATAATAAACTCAGTTTAACGTTAATTTAAATACAATAAATAACCGAAAACCGGGTTGTAGTGTATGTTTGGCCTTATGCCATATGTATCCTATATATTAAGAGAATTCTTAATAAATGAAGAGAGTATTGGAATATAATTTTGTATTTCACTCATCTCCAGTCGTATATATATATATATGTATCGTTGTCTTCCGTCGTATAGTCGTTGATTCAACATGAAGCATAGGTGTATTTTGAGGTGAGGGCGACGTGGGCCATGCCTATCCTAAAACCATCTAGTGCCCACTCTAGGATATAAGCAAATCTTCACAAAGACATGTCTGACAATACATATGCACCGTTTTTAAGCAGCCAGGCCCGCCTAGAAAATAATCTAAAATACGCATATGGCGTGGAGTATTATTAGTTTTATGGACAAAACCACGTAGTAATTATCATTGAATTCACAGTAGTGTCAATTCTACTCATACATGGATATTTAAGTTTATAGTTACAAGTTACAAAACGCCAGTATAAAATAAATATGGTAAGCAACAAACTTGCGAAACTTAAATCAGGTTTTCTGTGACATTATCACATTCAATTTATTTGCATAAAATGAAATCGTAACGAAGCCAAAACTGCCTCCAATCCGCATCCAATTTCTTAGTACCTAATATTTTTTGCGTAATACATAATTTTAAAAAATATTGTTTACGCTTCTATTGCTTCTCTTTTAAGATCCCTCATATAATTTTTTCTTAAACATCTTCCATGTACAGACATAGTATAGTTACAATTTTATTATATTAGTAAGATAAGATACGATTATGAACCAACTTTTTTTTGTATATAAATTTGTCTTTTTCTGTTATTTTTTTTTTTTGCTTTCAAACCTATCTATAAGAGTTAATTATGCTAAATACTAAACGGCAAAACAATTAAAGTGTGATTAAATACTATATAAAATTATTATGATGAAAGTTCTTTTAAGTACAAAATATTATAAGTATGATATTAATATGTACATCTCCAGAGCTACAAACAATTGGCATTGTAAAGTATGAAATCGAAATCCTTAGCATTCTTTGAAAGGAATGTTCCACCATCGAATCTTGAACATTTACAAAAGAAAAACGCCAAAAAAATTTGAATCTCCCATGACCTAACACAACACGTTTAGCTGTTGAGTTAGTACGAAATTTCTGGCCTCGTATTTTTTTTTTTTTTACTAATGATTTCGATTTTACACAGCATATTTATATATTTATGACAATACAAATTTATGACAAAATTAAAACAATAACCATTAAATTATTTAGTCACCTGTGTATTCATAAACTTTAGGACACTACCTGCCCGAAATCGTTTGCTTCTTGATATTAAATAGAGTGCGTAGGAACCGGCTCTTACTAGCTAAAACAATATAAAATACATATTAGCCAGTATCAGGTAATCATGTAAGAAAATTCTCTTTAAAAATGCCATACAAAAAAATTTCAAGCTCACTTTTTATTTTTTGTGTCCCAATCACAACCTGTATATAAACACTATTCAAACATAATTAAACAAATTACAAGTCGGAGTTATAGGTCAGAAACAGTCTTTTTTTATATTGTCCTATTTGTTTACAATATGAATGAGTTAATCTACTATCTATATCAATATTATAATTATGCAACATTTGATTATTTATATGTCTTTTTTTGTAATATATAATTTAAAAAAAAACTGAACCAACAACCAAAAATTCTTCCATCTATAGAAAGCTTATTATCAGGCTTATTACCTTCGAACATTCTATCTATATATAAAATCGCCAGCATTTGAACATTTTGATATATACAGTATATTAATTGAGAATGGGTTTCTTTAAAACTGGTTCTAAAAAAAGATGGTGATGATGTAAAAAAAAAGAAAAACCTGTATTTATACCAATGGCACTACATACGTACGTACCAGGTACGTACACTCTTATTATTATTTAGCGCCGATTATACAGATACAGACTGTTTTTTTTTTTTCGAGAGTTTTATTTATTTTTTGGTAATACAAAAATTCTTTCTTTATAAAAAAAATTTTAGACCCTATTAATGAATACTATACGAGTTTTAAGAAATTGGTTACGTTGATTAACTACTGCATACACCTACTTCTTTTTGTATCTTTGATATTCATCTATTATTACACTTACCTTCCAGGTATATGACTCATTCCATTGCCTAACCAATTTATCAGCCCTCAAGTCCTTCCAGGTTATAAACCGGTGAAAAGGTCTCGCAGTCCTCCTAGACCATGTTATGAAAGTTCCTCTCTGTGTTGAGACACCCATAGCTGTTATTTGGTGAGCACTAAGACCGGCATCTAATAAAAAACATAGCCATATTAATAATAATATAATTAACTACAAAGTTGAGATATGATTTTTAACAAGCCTGGAAAAATTAGCCTCATACTTCAATCAATCCAGGAACGATGTGAATTAGAGAATATCTGTAATAGTAGCTTCAGTAAGAGATCTGAGTGTACAGAATACTTGATGTTGCAACTGTGTGAAGATTTATATATTTTTATTACTAAACTATTTGTATTACAGAACAGGTTATAGGCAATGGTTTTTTTTTTTTTATGGACGATAATGGAATCGTAACCCTGCCTCCATTTTAGGGATATGCTGATTAAACACCAGCGAGCTGTAAACAATGAGGTGAAACTAGCTCATTTGGTCAATTGTAATATGAATTCAATAAGAATTAAACATGATGGCTTTCAGAGGGAACAATTTCTCTCCCTCCTATAGGTATATATAGTTTTACTAATTTGGTCAGTGGACATCCTTAGGGGTGGTCGCGCAATGCCAGCGGTTCGAGCCTCGGCTCAACTCATCGTATCTCGATGCCCACCTGAAAGGACAGGGGATCTTTTCGGACTGGCTGAAGTGCCGGAACTTAGCGCCCAGATGCTGTGCTGTATGGTTGGGGTCTTTGCTCTTGCCGGCGAAGTAGTGAAGGTTGAAGCGGAGTGGGAGGAGTATTAGGGGTATTTGGTACAGTGATAGGATCGTCGGGATCGTCAAAAACATGCATCGGGCGGCGTTGGCGCGGTTGGAAAATTCTCATCGGTACATAGTGGACTGTATTAGTAAATTTAGGTGTGATTGAGCGGAGTTAAAGTAGCATCTAGATGTTTCCTTCATAAAATGTTGTATAGTAAAGAGTTTGAGGTCGCAGTGATGTCTACATTGCTGACTCGCTGCAAGAATTTATTTTATAATGTCTGGAGTCTTTTATGAAGGTAGGGTGCCAAATGGACGAATACAATGCTGGCGTAGATGAGGATAAGCCTTACGCACCTTACTTTACGCTTTGTATAATGTTAGCTTATTGTTAAACGACATTTAATGTGCTTGTTGAGGAAGGGGTATAGCCGTCCGAAAACGGCGGCGCAGGCGGTCGAAGCGTGAGTGCAAACATGTACTCGGCGTAGCGGATCGAAGAATATGCCTACTGTTCAAGTCTCCTTACATCTTATGATTACTGAAGATCTATCCTGATTATATAATAAACTCGGACCACACAATACCCTACTAGCCAGTGGGATGGAAGTAATCTCTCACTCGTCATATCTCTAACAATTTCATCATGTACTATCTCTTAGTAAAATTTTCTCTTTCAAATACTTACTATTCCAGTTTATGCTTATTCTACTTATCCCCTATAATTAGGAAACAGGGTGGCATATTTTATACTCTGTTCAGGATTTTAACTCTATCCAATAAGCATATAAAAAAGAGGAGCTATCATGACATTGAAAAAGTCATCAAAATCTTTCTAAGTCCCAGAAATATTTGGGCTCCTATAACTATGAAATGGAGCGGCACACGAAACAATATCACATGACCAAAGATGATTCCCTTGAAGAATCATATCTAAAAGGCGCATATAAGTGGGGTTACTGCAGCATTGAAAATTCATCAAAATTTTACTAAGTCCTTGGCCTAGTGCCCTCAAGGATGTACTCTATTCTAAAATCAGAAAAATATACATTACCCTTAAAAGATCTTTGTACTACTGCTACTATAGAAGTCCATAATTCATCTGGATCAATTTCAACAAACCCTGGACTTGGATAATGTAGAACAACCTGAAATTAGGGATATTTTAAAATATTTTGCAAGGCTATAATAAAAATCAAATGTGTGAATTGTTGAGTTAGCTACTAGAATACAGACCTGTCTACCATACCATTCATTATAAGCAATTTCCAATAAATATAAAACAATATTATTTTTAATTTAAGCAGTTATATAAATATCATTAATCTTTATTATTCACATTTCAGTACTATTAAATATATATTATCATTAGCATTTCCTTTAACCCAGATTACATATGACTGAAGATTTTAATAAATACAATGCACATATTTTGCATCTAACTGTAACCTGTATTTATTATTTTAGTAATTAAATTACTTTCTATTTATGCTAGTGTAAACAGGAAATACTTATAAGTTTTATATAAAAACCAACTGAACCAGGAAATGTTTTATCCTTGCCACCACTTACAGACTCCATTTTTTTTTATCAGTATAAAATATATGCTATCTATAAAGTTAGAGCAAACAATACACATTTACAAAACTTCAACATTGGTTGAGCAGTTTCAGAGATTAGCATGAATGAGATTTTTATATAAGTTAAGACATGTTTTTGGGATTGAAAACAAACTGAACTTTATGTATAATATATTTTATGTAGTGAAGTATTATTTGTTAAATAAAAAATAGTTTAAAAATTAACAACTTTCAATTGAATATGGCTTATTTTTAACCAAATCTAATCCTTACAAAACAGTGCCCACAGTATTGTTTGTTATTAGCTTAAATTAAATTCTTAGCTGGCTACAAGAACTATAAAAACAATTCCAAGTCAATCCATGTGCTAAACCTTATTTCTCTAGATGCTTTCATTAAAAGATTTTTTTTAATAAACATAAGAAAACCAAAAAATGTCAACAAGTATGTTCAATGCAATAAAACATGAATAAAATCTGAATATCATAGGTACCTGCTCTGTAGATTTTCCAACAGTTTCTGCTTTAGAATTATAAATATAAGCCCGAATTGTAGTAGTGCCAACATCCAATGTTAATATGTATTTTTCCTCCATAGCTATGTTACAAAACTATATAAAATAAAAATTACTGTAACTCTTAATCAAGTAAAAAGGCAGATATTGATATTACTTCCAAAGGAAAGTTTTAATACACATAGTAAAAAACGACACAATAAAATAGTAAGTTGATTGATGTAATAATCACCAGAAACTAAAAAAGACGGATTGATAATTTTAGGTGGTAGGTATCTATCTATAATTTACAAAAACACAAAGTAGCGCACTGGTGTCACTTCAATAAAAACAAAATTTATATAATCAATTTATGTTACTATCTTTATGCAATATTCATTACTAAAAATCATTTAAAACTTAACCGCCAGTATTATAAAGACCAAATATAAAATAGTCATTTAGCGAAACTATTAACTTAAAATATTAGATTAAATAAAATAACTTTCAGAATCAAACCCTTTGTCATAGCAGAACCAATATTTGTATGCTATATACCCAAAATGTAATGAATTTATCTATAATTCAAAAATACGGTCCATACTATTATCCTTACTATTTAGTGACACATATTATTAATGAATTCGTATTATATATAAATAGTATAGTATTCAATAATTTTATTTCTAAATGGCTGCATAGATACATTTACCAATTTCGTAAATATTAAAGTAATACTTTCCCTTGAATGACATATACATCACTTACTCTGTAGTGTTGATTGACACTGACACATAGACGTAGATAACTTAAACACTAACAGGTGTGACATAGATAAAGGACAGTAGGTAACCGGTGGCAACTAGATATTTATGTTTGTATAATATTTTTTTTCATTTGATATTTATTTTTCTTATTCAATCTTTAAAAGAAATTATTACGTAGCTATTTTAAATAAATGAGAAAAAAATTAAATAAAAATATTAAGCGTTATGGAGAATAACAATTTCTAAATATTTTTTAGTTTAAAAATGCAATTTTTTATTCACATTATTATTAATTAGACATTAGTAAAAATAATTAAATATAGTAACTCGTGATTACGTGGATTTAATACAAAACTTTCACAATTACATATTTTAATGCAATATTTAGAACAATAATAAATATTATCATATTAAAATATTTAAGATCTCTAGTAACATCTTAAGCACTTTGCAGTTTTCTCTTGTCTTTTCTTCTAAAACTAAACAGTTTTTTTGTTATTTTTTCAAATGTATAATAAATATTTAAAAAAAATTATGTTTCTTAAATTTATTTGGTGTTTGTCTAATTTTACTCATAAATATTTAAAATAAATCGTAATATTTGAAGATTTTACATTTTTATTATAATTAATTAATATATAAAATTAAAGAAATATCTATACATATAACAAGAACATTAGCCAGGTTTCATGCATAGATTTGGAATAATGCATATTTTAATCATTACCATTTATGGCAGTTATTCAATCAGTTTATTGTTCAAATTTTTAAATCCTAATAAAAAAAATCTATTTCACATTATTAAATTTAATATATGGCAACTCAAACTTGTCTGACAGACAAGCAAGAGTCAAGCGCGTTTTCGTATTTCGAGCGCTGAAAATTGTGATGTAAAAAGAGAAAACTGAATGTTTACCAGCCATCATGGCAAACCCCAGGAAATTTAGTGAAAAAATTGCCCTCCATAATCAAAAGCAGGCTGAAGAAACTGCTGCTTTTGAAAAAATAATGCGCGAAGTTTCCGACGCAACCAATAAGGTATGTCGCCTATTTACTCAGACAATCGCTTCCTGGCCGTCAAATGTGTCCGCCGACGTAAACAATAACCATTTCAATATGTCTATTGCGCCACAATAGCTAAATATATTATTATTAATTGAAAAATAATCTTTGAAGAAAATTATTGACAGCCCTCACATCTACTACTTTTAGTTCTAGTTAATTGTCATTGTTGAAATTAATTTAACTCGTAGTACTTTTGCGTGCTACACAATAGATTATTGTTGATAGCTATGAATACAACTAAATGAATATAATATTATATTGTTACTATAATATGGTATATTTAATTGGTAACACAATATAAACATGATGTTCTCATTGTATGTACAAACGCAACATGTAAACATAATCGGCGTCCATTCATTAAAATGTACTGGATAAATTCGTGTCTAAAGAAAAAATTTTGAAGTATTTAGTTAGGTAGTAATAAACATTTTATAAAAGAAATTCATCATAACAAGGTCATCCAGTAGTGAATAAAGTTGCTAGTAAACTGTTACTATATACAGTATAGGCTGAGTTGTTGAAGTGTCGTGGTTACAGGTTAGTTCAAGTAGCAGACGGGCCCAGGCCAAAGCTCCTCCCCAGCCCACTGAGAGTAATGAATCATCACTCCGGCCCTCTCCACAATGCTTGGGCACATTCCGCAGTGGCTCTTTGCCAAATGTGGCTGCACCACAGGCCACAAATGCAGAGCCAGAAAATGATAAGGTTCCCTTCTTTCGGAATCTGCTCGTTATGATCCTTAAACTTTATAGAAGTTGTTATTTTATTTTCTGGTAGTGGTGCAGTTGTAGATGGCTGTAAATTTTCGGCTATTAGATTGCCATATATAAACCTCTTTTGTTTCATGAATATAATATACTCAGTGTCTCACCATTGTATTTTGTATTTTTTTTCTTTAATCATTTAATATTTTCTATTCTTTGTTAAGTTTATGGTTTCTAGTCTAAGAATATCCTTTTTTCGTTTATTGAATGCTAATGTTTAAAAAAAATATGTTTTATTATTGTATAAACAATAACAGATGTGTTGTGCTGATATTATCAAATTAAATACTTGGTGCAATTTATATGAGTTTATAATTGTGTATACTTCAAAATATTAGTTACTGTTTATTTATTATTTACTTTAAACATGTGTTTAAATTTCTGATGTTTAAATTCATCATGTGTTCATTCAACTTCCCTCTATAAACAGATTCTTGATTATCATACCTCTTTGAGATGCCACATCCTGTTAAACTGTATAGTAAAATTTAAGTTTTTGTTTATTTTTCATTTTGTTTAAAGTCAAATTGTTTTCAGAAACTGAAATTAATGTATAAAAATTTCTATATTAAACTGTTTTTAATAACAATTTTGTTAATAATAATAATAATATTTATTCAGTCAACATAAGGCCCATTTTGTTAATGCAGTTTTACTTATTCATATGTATATGTTTTCACTTTATTGCACTATTTATAAAAATTAAAATATAGTAAATATTTTTTTTTCTTTTTATGTTTAATTTTAAAGAATTCTTGTTAAAAGAATTAGATTTAGAATGTGCACTATCTCAGGTATTAGAATTTGTAGTGTATGATAAATTAGTGATTGTTTTTTAGATTGTAGGTTTTGTATTTAGGAAATGCATGATTTATTTTTATGCATTACCTAGTTTAAAAACATTGTAATGTTTATGTAACTATTGTGTATTTGTTGAATCAGAAGTAGTTAAGTCAATATTAAATTTAGTTAAACTTTTAAAATAAGTCATGTGTTAAGCTTGTGTCTGTGTCTTTGTTTGGGTGATGGGTATAGTGATTGAGATACAAAGTAATCAATGTCCTTCTCTATGCTAATTATAACAGAAATATACCAAATTTCATGACAATTAGTTGCACTCCTAACAAACAAGATTAAAGTTAAGGTGAGTAAACTCACCATTGTAGACTGTCTCAATAGAATTTTATGAAAATGTAAACTAACAAATAATAGCCACAACCTAGATGATTGCATACAATGTGGTTTCTGAGATGTTCCCATGAATACTCAGGTTATGGAATGAGCTCCTACCGACGTTTTCCCAAAAGAATACAGCATGGGGTTCTTCAAAAGGGGTAAAGAGGTTTATTCAGGGTTGCCACGCGCGCGTAAAACCCCTGGTTTTACAGGCGTTCATAGGCTACGGTAACCGCTTACCAACAGGTGGGCAGCATGCTTGTTTGCCACCACAGAGGTATAAAAAAACCACAAGAAATTCTACCAAGGTCCAATGATAGTATAAATAAAAAAAAATATTAATTGAATGTTTCTATTTATTACTAATTTCATTTGAAGACTTTTTTGTGATATATTCCACAAAAGTAAATACTATTCATTAAATTCTATTAAAACTTAATTAAGTGTAATAGTTTAAAAAAATGTATTTAATTTTTCCAGTTTAGTAATAAACACAAATTAATGTCATATATTGCCATTAATTTGTGTTGTATTTTGGTTGTTTGCTGGTCTAAAGCAAATTTTTATATAATTAGTGGAATACATAATATTGTTATGCTGGTTAGTTTTTCTTGTAGTCATATTTTTTAATGTGGTATGTGGTATTAGTTCACTAAAACTCAATATGTGTTAGGAAGCTGTTAATGTTAGTAAAGAGTATGTTCTTTTGTTGTTTAAACAAAATAGTTTATTATTTATATGACTGCTTTTTATATGAAACACAATAACTATTCAACTTATAAAATATGTCACATATGACATCTCTGGTCCATAAGTGACAGGGACCGTTTACCATCAGATGGACAGTATTCTTGTTTGTTACATTTGTAATATTTTATAAACAAAATTGATTTTAAGAATTGTGGCTAAAAGTAACACTAGTTGTTCTGTTGAAATGTGTACTAACAATTACAAAAAAAAAAAAAAAAAAAAAAAAAAAAAAAGAAAGAAAAATATAAATATAACAAACTATAAAGGAGTTTATAACATTGTATTTGGTTCTAGTAAAAGTACAATATTGCTTAATAATTGCTCTTGGTAAAGGTTGCTATCAATTGGTTAAGATTATAATAGTATAACAGCCTAGCCAACCCAAGATGAACCGTTTTCATGTATGAGTTTCGAATTATTATAAAATAAAACGATTATTGTAGCACTAATAGCTGATGCTGCATCACTACGTAGCGGAGAGATTCGCTAGTTAGAATACTATGAGAGAAAATCATTTTCTATTCTGATATAATATACTGTCTTTTTATCGATCGTCAATTTTTACATTAGTCAATTAGCCTATTACTACATTTACAATTCAATAGTTATTTCTAAATAATGCGGGATTCTACCAAACTAATTGAAATTTATTTATTCTATTATTGTTTATAGCCCGAAGAGGCATCATTAGCAACTCAGTATGGTCTTGGAGGCGGGCGTAGTGGTGGGGCGTCCCCATCTCGAAATTCAGGGCAGCGGGGACGCGCCTCATCCTCTGTCGGTCCTATGCGTCGTCCGGCAGACCGAAAACACGATACCAGTCCTTATGGAAGCACCGTCTACTTGAGGTAATTAACATACAATCAAGTTAACAAAATGCTTGAGTCTAACCGATTTGGAGTCCATGTGATGATAAATAAGGAAAACTGACTTGATTTTCGTCCATATTAAGAAACAAAAGTAACTAACTGTATAATAAGTGGTCTTAAAGAGTTATTCTTAACATAACATTTTTTTTTTTTCATAAAACAATAAGTAATTAGATAGTTACATAAATATATTTAAATTTTCTGTACTCGAAGGTCTGTAAAAGTAATGCTTGTAACAGAAATGTCAAGGTGATTTCATAATTGTATTTTACATTTTTCATACAATAGGCATGACTGACCGAAAACAATTTTGAACCTCACAAATTTCACTTGAGCTACTTGACACCAAATTAATAATAAATAAAAAAAAAAATATTCACGTACACTTAATGATAAGTATTTTTGAATAGTCAATTTTAATGAACTACCGCTCAATTCGAAATGAAATTTCAGGTGATAGAAACGGGTATGAAACTCGGCTGTCTCATTTTTTTTTTTTCAAATAAAAGTTAAGTTTACAACAAAAATGTGAATGGATAAAATGTCTATCGCTATTTTCATATTGATAGAAAAAGAACATCGATCATAGTATTTTTAAACAGGCAGCCCCTACTAGAAACACCCGTTCCCGAATATGACGAATGAATCCGCTATCTTTGTATTAACTATATTATAGGGAGCCCAACAATCCGTTCTACCACACCGCCACTAGTCTGGATAATTGAAGCATTATATAACTTACTATATTTTCTCAAACATGCTTGAAAATGTGAGCATTATTTTGACAATCTTCTTCAAGATAAATCAAAATTGCCGTACTGGTCAGATATATGCCGGCAGCGGCCGGCAAAAGTTGTATGAAAATCCATATCTGTCGTGTTTTGCGGCCAGATAAATTACTATGTATATAGATAAACTCATATCTGTCCTGTAATTTAAAAATGGAATGGCCTTTTATTTAGAAACATGGCTTTTATTTCAAACCAAAGAGGTAACTAATAAAAGATTTTATTTAAATTTCGAACTGACTTGCAAATAGAAAGCTGTTCATTGAAAAGAAAAAAACAAAGGAACATTATGGCGCGTTAAAAATTATTATTGTTCGTTATTCGTCATTGAACTTAAAAAGTAAAATTGTGTTTTTGATTTCCGCGCATTGTTTGAGAAAAGTACTATACAAGCCTTGGTCATAACTAGGCATTGATGAACTCACGTATGTGTATCTCGGCTACGTCTCGGCCCACATTTGCACGTTCGTCTATCAATGCCTCAGTTGCTGGCCCCTGCAGTAATGTACTATAATCTACTACATTGGTTTAATCATCAAGGTCTTTTTTAACCTGTTGCAAATTTATCGCCGTAAATAAAAGGTCCTGGCTTGCACCTCCGGGTTGAACAAAAAATGTAATAACCGAGCTAAATATAAATAGATGCTTTTTTTGTATATTTTTTTATCAAATATACAGAAAACCGCTACCTTATAAAGACGATAATTAGTATAACGAACATGCAACCACAAAAACTATCTGGAGTCTCAACCAAGAACAACCATTCCCAAGCTAATTTGTATTTTGTTAACTTTATCGTCCTAAATTTATTTTGTCAACAACCGCAAAACCTCTAATGATAACCATTAGCATTATAAAAATATGTTAGTAAACAATTATAGATTGTTTACTAAATAGGATAAAGAAAAAGAAAAACAGTTCATGTGTAATTTTTATACCTACCAACGAAACATATGATATGTAAAGCTAGTTTGCCGAGATGTAGTATGTATAAGGCAGCAAGGTAAATTAATTTATGATTCAACCTATATTATAATTATTGTACTGTGAAGTTCTAGTCATTCTCAGAAACCCATTCATAATGAATAATTATAATTGCGTTCGGGTAGAAAGGAAACACGTAGATTATATGTTGTATTGACAAATTGACATTGAATGTATTGTCTGAAAAAAATCACAAGGTAGCTATTATATTCAAGGGCAATTAATCGTTTTAAGTAGCTTTTTAATAATGATCTATTGTGAAGATATAGTAACAGGAATAATACTCATTATATAATTACATATTATTCTATCATCCCTGGTATTCTACATGTTTGCTATATCTGTAACTGCTTACCATTAGGTCGAAATAATCCGAGTAAAATATAAACTTAATTAAACATGTTGCCAAAATTAATTTTAATGATATTTCTAACTTAATGAACAGGTTCAACTTAGTTAAGAAATAAAGTACTGATCATGTGTGTGCTGAACTCACACACCAAATATTCTTACATAAATATAAAATAATCATTATCGTATTTATTTATCCTTTATTCGTTTCCTTTATTGCCACATTACAAAAAAATTTTGTTAAAGACTTAATGTTATATAACATTCTCTCCCGATCAACCTTTACTTTATTTTATTTTTTATTGTCATTTTTACCTTTATTAATAATACTACAATTCGTTACTTCTTATTTATAATTTTGATTAAAAACTGAACTGAATACTTAATTTTGTTTTTGGAAGTTTATTGTCAATTTCTCAAATAATAAAAATAAATATTATTTACTGTAATATTCACATATACCTTTACATAAACTATAATTATGTAAAAATTTTTTTCTTCTAATAATCTTCGAAGATAAAGTTTATTTTTCTCACATTTTTATATTTTTTTATATATTAAAAACTATGCATCATAAAAACAAATAATTGTTTTAAAATTGAAATGAAAACCTTTTATATGATATCCCACTTGGAAATTTTCAGTATCTATTTTGGAAAGATCTCCTCACTCCCCCCAGTGAAGAAACTAAAAATAGTTATTGTAAACAATATGGACAATTCATTCTCAATAATTAACTATTACTTGATTATTGAATCAATATGGCCGTGTGGTGCCGGCATAGAATAGTCAACCCCTACCTTTCTCGTAGGTGTCGTAAGAGTCGACTAACGAAGGGCGAGGTATGAACAGCAGCATCCCTCTTAAAACATTTCTAAAGTCTAACTCTGGTTGCCAATCCGTCTGCCAAGCATTGCAACTACTGGCAAAACCACCCAAGGGGGAGGTTTATGTTCAGCAGTGGACAGTTAAAGGCTGATATGATGATGATGATTACTGAATATGAAATGTTACCTGTTCTTTTATAATCTTTGTAACTTATATTCAGTAAAATAGATTTTACTAAAAACAGGACACATATGTAAATAAGTCATTTGTTACAGTCCACCGCCAGACAGTAATTGGCGGCGAACAAATTCAGACTCGGCGCTTCACCAGTCGTGCGGCGGCGAGCAGCAAGTGGCTGCACAGCCGCTTTCACCACACCACCCTCTGCATTCCCACGCACATCCGCACTTACATCCTCATCAGAATCATCGGAGAAGTGAGCTTTAAAATAATCAGCCTTATATAAATATATGTCATGTAGGAATATTTTATTTGTAAAATTTTTTATAATACAGGGGTGATTCAAAAGAAAGAAAAGTCGGGGAAAAACCAGCTTTTAGCCTAGGATTAAAAAAATTAAAAGTATCTAGGTAATTTTATAAGGCAATCGCTACTTCCGATTTCTTTTAATAGATGCACGTTGTAGTTGACATGAAGTTCACCGGGTCATGTAGTAATTAATAAAAAGCTGATATAAAAATATTAATTAGCTAACCACTAATACTGTTTTAATATTTACAATTAGCTAGAAACTACTCTGTGACTATTATCTAATTAAAAACTTAATAAACTTTTAGTAAAACTGTAAATTCATGACCTTATTGAATGACCCATCACAATTACCAATTAAAACTCCTGATGTAAGAGTTTCCTTGTGTATATGAATACTAGTGGGGTATACTTGGTGACCAATACATTAGTCATCAAGACTACTGCTCAAATTTACCAATATTGTTTTCGTACTATGCAGTGCGTATTCACTTTTTTGTTTTCCAAATTTTAATGTACATTTCCAACGCCTATCTTTTTTTCGACATTTTAAATACGTCACGTTTACAGCATACGAAAATATCGACGAATATAAATAATAAAAATATAAATATCGTATTGCATGCTGCATGTTTATATATTTTCTTTTAATATAATAATCTATAGTTAACACATTTAGATTTAAAATTCTTATTTCAATAATATATATATATATATATATATATATATATATATATATCATCATATCTTATAATTTATATACCAAATTTTTTGTAATTATATTCATTAAACAAATTAATTAAAACAAATATGAGTGTCTAACAAACATTTAATAAATTTACAATCTTGCACATTTGTAGAATAAGTTTGCATCCGAGATAATTTATCGGTATTAAACATTGACCTATCATTTATAAGAATAGTATATATATCAGAAGCTATGATAACCAAATTGTACCACTATTAAATTAAACCAATTCATGTTCTGTACACAGAATATGCTCTGAAGGCCTACCATGAAGTGTTTTCCGAAATTTCGGAGCCAAACGAAACACAAATTTAATGTTAAAATTACATAATATATGCCGTTTGGAAATATTAAAAAATTTTAAAATATTGTTCTTTTGGACTTTTACGATAGGATGTATGACGAACGAAATGTTAAATTCCATTTATTGGTCCGATTTTAGTATAAACAAAAATATGAAATTGAGTCCAAAATTTCGGAATTTCATTTCATGGTAGACCCGCTGTGAATAGGAAATGTGAGTATTTTGGTTGTTACACCACAACGCAACAGTCTACTACTTCTGACTATCCTATTAGGGGTGAAAATTTTTTTATACCACTGAGATGGCAAACAAGCATACGGCCCACCTGATGGTAAGTGGTTACCGTAGCCTATGAACACCTGCAATACCAGAGGTATTACGCGTGCATTGTCGATTCTGCAGAAATTATATTTATTTTTTATTCTGTGCACAGCTGCCGACATACATCTCGATGTGCTGACGACGCTGGGAATGAACCCGACGAATCGTCCCAGATCCTCGTGCGAAATACCTAGAATACCAAACAATAACAAGTTAGTGGGATTTTTTGATATTTTTCATTACACAATTCTACACTCAAATGACTACGATGCTCTCGAAGTCAATTACGTGACAAATTCCATTAAAACTGAAATATTTTACTATAAGGAAAAGTAGGTGGTATTTTATAAAAGGATAAATTACGAGTAAAAGTGTTCGGAACTGGGGGGCTATATAAATAGATAAACTTCTTTATATATATGATAAATGAAGATGGAAGAAGCGACAGAGGTCTGGAAACATTTGATATTCCATTGTTACTGTCTACCCCAATGAGAGACGGGCGTGTTGTTTATACCTATAAATATGTAAAAGTAATCCTATATGTTTATTTTAATGCGATGATAATGGAATGGTAACCCCGCCTGTGCTAGCAATTCGTACTGCTGGGGCACCAGTGAGCGATGATTAGATGAGGACGGTAGCAAGTCTGTTAAGCCCATCCTGATGAATTCATCATAAATGTCCCCTAGATACAGGTCTGACCTAGTTTGAGGACTGATGGTAATGCAGACTTTTTTCTCGTTCAATATAAATTGTAAAAATTGTAGGTTGTACTTTATGCAAGAGTATCTCACTTGAATAAAAATATTATTATTATTAAAAATCAACCACGATAGTTTTCAAGGGAAACCACGTGAAGATCGACCTGGCAGTATCCCATATTGTTAGTTATGGGGCCATTAGTCCCCGTTACTAACAATGACTTCTATACCCAATTGTATATGTTGACCCAAAATCTAAAGTTATAACGACCATAAATTTCGTTCGGTAATTTTTCTGTGATGAATGTACAGACGCGGTCGAGTTACAATTTTATTATATGTATAGATTAATTATATTTGCAATGACCATGATCATAAGCTGTTTATTATTTATAAATGTATTCAAACGGTCACTACTTATTAATACTGAACTAGCAACGCGGTGCGATGCAGATTTAACGACCGACAAAACTACTCATACATAAAGAATCGTAAATATTTGTAGCTTTTAATGAATAATAATGCAATGGTAACTCCGCCTGCGCAATCGGTATACACTGGCGGGGCACTAATGATGGATCATTGGTGAGGATGAAGCAGATTTGTTAGCCCAACGTGACGAATATTTACCAATAAATCACGATTGTTTTGAGGGCGGACTACGAGGAGGTCGACCTAACAGGGTATATTACTAACAATGGGGGCTATTAATCTTTATTACTAACAATCTTTCCCCCACCCGATACTCGTAGGTATGTTAACTACGTTTAGAGGAACCATTGTCGTATTTTATTATTATTTCTAAAAAAAAATTTATTTTTGAGTAAATATAATAATAATGAGGATCAAAATGTATATACATTGATCTATAATTTAATGTTAATGCATTCGCATTGTAATACAGTAAATTATTTAAGGATACTCGTAGAATTGAATACCAAAATAAGAAGGCGCTTGTGATTTCTAAGTCAATGACTCATGTTTGATGTTAATATTTAATATAACCTAAGAATCGAGTCACATTTCTAGTAAGGACTCGAGTATTATTCATGAATTAAATATAATATCAAATTCCCAGTAAACGACTACTACCAGTTTACTTTTGTTTTTTTATTGTATTTTACAAAAACGATATGTATAAAAGTATATTGTAATTATTGATTACAATTCTATACTTTATTCGCCTTCTCGTAAATAGTAATTGACCTGTTTTAACCGGTTTGCTCCTAAAGATTTATATCTCATAGAGAAATACCTGTTAAAACTTGACTTTGCTTACCTATATGACTGGCTTATGTAAATTCCACCTGTCTTCTTAATTACTGCTGTGAAATAGTAGTGTGGTCACGATTTAACCCTTCTTTGCATGATTTTTTTTTTATTGATGAAATTAATCAAGGTGATATAATGCAGGTTCAAAATAAATGGCTAAAAAATAAATTTGACAGCTATGTTTTTTTTTTTTTTCTACAATGTACACTAAAAAGGTATCCAACACACGATCAATTTAAGGTAAATTTGTTCTTTTATATAATTTTTGGGCATTCAATGTTATGATGGAAATTTCCACCATTATGCAAAGAAGGGCTAAAGTAAAAAAAATACCAGAGGGCAAGTTTGTTTAAAATTTACTTGCATGGAATCCTCAGTAACACTCGTATTTCTAACGCCTGGCATGGCTGTATTTCGGTTCGATGGTTGGGATATATCAGTGAAATTACAGTTTACAAAAGCGTAACTACTTATTCTTGAGGAATCGCAACTCATGGGGATTAATGTGGGCGTCAGAAGTGTATTCTGTAAAGACCATGGTGCTGTTGTAGTATGTAAACGACGGTTACCACTTTCCATCACGTAGGTACGTATGTATGTACATCCGTACTTTGGTATAGGTGTATACGATCTTTGAAATTGGCTTTTATCATTTCTCAGCCTTATATAGAATTTTGTGTAAAAAGTCGATAAAATTTACTTATTTTTGCCATAGCAACAATAAATTTAGACAAAATGTATTCAAAAATTATATTTATTGTCCAAACGTTCGCCATAACTTGACACTGGAAATCTGGAACGTGCGACACCAATCAAATCTTTGAATTGATATTTTGACATTGCAATTTTGTCACCATATAAATGTGGTTTTTATATTTAAAGTGTATACGAGAGCGGAGGGGACGGCGGGGGAGGCGGCGGCGGCGGTGGGGGCGGCGGAGGCGGCGGGTTGGCGTGCGGCGAGCTGCAGGTGCCGGGCGGCTCGCTGCCCGATCTCACCTCCGTGCACTTCCCGCCGCCGCACTACATGCAGCACAGGAACTCGCCCGATTACCACCAGCCAAGATATGTGAGTATATTTTCTTTATTACTAGCCCCTTTCTTTCGCTTATTAATAGTTGTTGAAGAACCAAAGCCAAATATGTACTTAGTTGTTAAACTCGTCAAGTATTTGGCATTAGCTTGCCACCGCAATTACACATGGAATTCAGCACAACGGTTTCCTAGCAATAGTAGTCCGCATTACTATCAATCCCTTCCTCCAACACGGGTATATTGTCCCATCTAGTATCAAGTAAAAGAGACGCGAACTTAGTACGGGCAACATCAAATTGGATACTGCCATTTTTTTAGGAACCCAACATAAAGATATTAGACCCAGTGAATCCAGTGTATGTGATATTAAATCTAATATGGGAAACATAAAATTGATCCTTACTTTTTTCGCTATCGGTGGGAGGGGGCATTACAAACTTCATTGCCAATCTGCAAGCAAATATACTAGATGATAAGATGATTAATAAAAAAAACAGGAGACAAAACACGAAAAAATTATCAGAGCTTCTATATCACACAACAACACAACACATTTAGCTGTTAAGCAATTTAATCAATATTTTTTGTCATTTTTAAACCTATGCTACTATCAAGAAAATATTTAATTTACGAATACTTAAAGCATACAATTTTGATATCACTCAGTATTTGGGTGTTATTATTCGTGGCCTTATATTTAGGACACGCCCCCATCGATTCCAGTCGATTTCTAACAGAATGTCATTCGCTTTATACGTGCTTCTAATGTAGTGTTCCGCGTTAATTGCAGAGTCCGACGTCGCCGGGCGCGGTGTCCCCCGGCGGCGGCAGTGTGTCGCCGGCGACGGGCGGACTGTCGCCCGCGTCGGGCTCACCAGTGGGCGCCACGGTGCCGTTGACCGCCGCGCTACATGCCTTGCCGCACACGCATCACCCGCACCAACACGACCACACCGCGCTCTACGACGCGCAGGTAACTCGATGCTTCACCATACCCGTTTGAATTCAACAGACTAGACAGATTAATGGATTTGATATATTATGACAACTCTATTAATAACCAATGATCATTGGTTTGCGTGTAAACAGGTTTTTATTAGAGTGTAACCAAATATAACCAAAAAATATTTTTTTTACTTTATACATACGATTATATTGTAGTAAGGTTATTATCCTTATAACGAAGGGGGGAGGGGGTTAATGAAATTAATTAAATGTGTTGTTTTGCTTCCTAAAATCGAAATAAGTAATGTGAACAATTGTACCATTTTTAAAATGGTGTAAATAAATCAATAAAGAAGTGTTTAATAAGGTTATTAAAACGCAAAAGTAATTAAAAAAATTAATCCTCGAATAATGTAATGACTGATGATCATAATTTTATGTAAATAGTGTCAACAACAACATTTGCATTTATTTATAATTATATGAAATGGTTAATCATAAACCATTCACTATTTATGTTTTATATCGATGATATGTTTTGTTTACTATTTTTGCACTAAGAAGTTATGGTTAATAATTATGCAATGGTATAAAACTATAACACGGAGCCCCTCGATCTCATATATATTCGTTACTGACGATTCTTATTCAATTAATAATTATAGTAATGGCTTCTAAATACAAATAAACGTTCACATAAAAATTCATCAAAATTAAATGTCATTCATAGCAATTTTAACAAATAAAATGAATGAATAAAAACAATAGCAAAGTTAATTTCTATCTTATTATAATAGGATGTGCTTTTATTATTTCTGTATATGATAATACCAACCACTTCGTAGATATTTGAAAATATACATATGTATTTAATAAAATATATAGACGCTTATTAATACTTATATCTTGTTTTTTTTTTTTTTGTACAGAATAAATTGAGGTCGAAATAGTTTGTTTTCTCTTAATAACCCACTGTTTTGACCATCGTATGAAAAAACAATTTACCAGGAAAATATATTATTATATCAACTTAAATCAATTAAAACTCCAAGTTTCGAAACAATACGATTGATTCGCATCTAGATGCGATTTAATGTCTAGACACTAAATTTAAATATAACATTTTAAACGACTTTGAAAAAACCTAATCTGTAGTTATTAGGAAAAACTTTTTTAATAGGCTCCAATATATAGATTTCAGTATGTTAGGGCGAGTCATCGCCTGACATGATGAAGAATACGGCGGTGGGTATTATTACACATTTTTACAAATGTACGAGAATCGATTGAGATATATATAAGCAAATTTATGAAAACCGAATAATACCTATAATCTCATTTATGTGAAATTTTTTCGTTCTCCAAAATTTCCAAAACGTTGATAAAGTTCCGTTATACGAACTTACACGATTTTTTTTCACAGACATAAAAAGTTAAATGCTCAATGATGATCATTGATGTCTTAGAATCATAGTTGTAATTTTAAGACTGTCTTTACTGACATACCAAAGCTTGTATTTCTCTGCCTACTCTTAAAAAATGGCGTCTACTTCATATCCAGTTACTGCTATAAAAATGTAACGTGATGTAATGTAATGTAATTATAAAATAACGTATTATCACATATGTAACAATAAAAGGTAAAATTTCGTGTGGTCCCGGCATATATATATATATATATATATATATATATATATATATATATATATATATATATATATATATATATATATATATAGCACCCCAGGGGTTCGTACAAAATGAATAAAAAGCTAAGAGACATGCAGCGTCTCTTTTACTAATAGTGGTTGCCAACCTACCTGCCAAGCGTGGCAATTACTGAGAATACCCCTAAAAGGGATGACCTATGTTCATCAGTGGACAGTTAATGGCTGATATGAAGATGATGATTAACTAACTTTGTTTAAAAATCAAAACAGTTATGAGTTTAAGATATGTTTGGAAATATCAAACTTCCTTTGCTACCAAATATAATGCGAATTGTATTAACGTGCCTTTTAAATAACACTGGCTTTGGAACATAACACTCAATTTCAACCATACTACTCTGTTAGCCGTTAACATAGTGTTGTGTTGTTGATGTTTTCTTTTGTTTTGTGATTATTTTGCTTTCGACACAAATCATTTTTTTTTTGTTTATTTCAGAATCACTTATCTGTACCAAACACAAATAATTATCTCCATCATAATAAGGTTCGTTTTCTTTTATAACCTGTTCCTAATTTTTTTCCAGTTCATATAATAAAAACGGTTGCTTGAATGCTTAAATGCTGTTCATTCTCAGTGAAATATGAACACGAAGCTACCTTTGGTCGCCACTATCTTTTTCTCTCTCCAAAAATCATAACTGTTTGTTATGTGTATTACAGAATTTTCATTTTTACTAATAACAATTGGGAGCCACATTTACTTTAATAATAATTAATCTGCATGTTCCTATTATTGTTATGCTTGATTTATAGCATAAATCTTAAATTTATTTCAAATAATTAATTTTCATTCATACTAAGTGTTTCAATTTATGATATTTACAATTTATGTGTTCCATTACTTTTTGTATTATACTCATATTTTTATTAACATTTTTAAATTTTTTACGCACTTTCGATTTCTTTTAATTCACAAGTAAAATAATTATATTTATAATAATAATTCATTAATTTTTGAAAATTTAAATTACCACACCGCTATATCCAGGCTTATGCCATTAATTTTGGTATATTTTGTTAGAATTTAGTCTTAAAATCATATAAATACCTAACGAGGATTGTTTATATGTTCTTTAATGATACTTTCTAAACCGTGTATCGCTTTATAACATATTTACCGTACATAAGTACTATAATTGCCTATTATACCTGAACTTATTCCATAATAATAAGTTGAAAGGGGGAAAATATAGTATAATTCATTAAAGCAAAGTAATGACCGGGTACTTTTTCATAATTGAGATCATTTTATACATGCAATAGGCAGGAGCATATAAAAAGATGCTTTACTAACACCACTCTAGAGTATAATATCGCTTCATCTTGTAAATAATAATTTCATCATACACATTGACATTTTAACCATTTGTCGCTCATATAATTATAGCGTTTATTGGTCAAAGACAAAGATTTAAATGATATGTTTTATTTAATAAAGACAACAATTTTAATTTATAATTTAATTTAAAAAAAAATTATTTTTTAATTATAGTCGATTTTAATTAATAGATGCTAAATACCTACCTCTGTTTTATTTACCAATTAATAGTCAGTATCTCATACAATTTTGTAATGTTCATATTTTCGAATTCATTTGAATCTTTGATCTTTAATAACATTGGTGTTAAAGCCAGTCTTAACACACAAAGATTCACATTTTATTGAGCTTGGTCCATTTTGGTTTTAATCGCATGTCAGGCTAGCTTAACTTCAAATAATAAGATTTTGGATTATCTTTTTTAATATATAATACACATTGAAAATTCATAACGCGGTGACGCATTGAAATATAAACGTTTGCCAGTCATCAATCTATCACGCTATTTTCGCTCTGTCGTCACGGTTATAGGGTACATATTTGCATTTTCAAATAGGTTATTCTGCCTGGTTTCAGAACATGTCACCTTTGGACCACACAGGTTGGATTACATCAAGTTATCAGTCCCACTGTAGTCCGCCCTCACAATATTCTTCGACATCGAATATAAATATACCTTCACCCACGGTAAGTCTTGGATGTATTTTTTTATTAAATTAAAGTTCTCTTTTTTTTATATCACCAATTAGGGACTCGTCAATATTTATATAAATAGTTATATTTAAATGTTTATATATGTTCGATTAATTAGATCTGTTCTTTCAAACCAGAATAAATTAAAATTGCATTAGCTAATAAATTCATTTAAAAAAAAAATTACAGATGGTACACAGTCCTGGCAGTCCAGTAGAATCACCACAGACAGACTACAACAATCTACACCAAGTGTTACTACAACCCTTTGAACAGATTACAATGGTGAGTTACACATATTGAATATTTATTGTATTAATTACTGGACAATAAAAGAATACGTACGCCCATGTATGAGAAGAATAATTAAAAAACAATGGTGCCATTTATAAATCGTCAATTAGAACACTATTTTTAACATTAGACATCTACATTTAATTTTTATTCGTAGTTATATTGAGGTACATAATGAGGTACAAAGTTGACTTATATAATATTAATCTACATATTTCCACTTACCATAAAAATAAATAGATTTATTAGAAGCGATACTCATATGGTTTCCTTTGTGGTTGTGGCAATGCCTCTAAAACGTACCCTTTTCAGCTCAGACAATCCACATAGACACGAAGGATGTCACAAATTTATTCACATTTAATAAATAATTTTATGTTAAAATACTAGTCAGATGACACGCGTGCGAGTTAGCGACACACATACTTTCACTGTGGTGTCTATTGCTTCAAAGCCCTGACTGATTTAGTTCTTAAAAAAAAACCGGGTGTCAGAATACCAACATAGTTATCGTTAATGAATTTTCGAGGATATCGATTCTTATGACATTACAGCAATGGGCTAGAAACAATAGAATACTACGCTTCATGTAAATAATACAAAGTTCTAACATTAATAAGATAAAAAGAATAAAGACATGCCAAAATTGGATTTATAATTATGTTTAGTATTGTACATTTTATTTATATATCAGGCAAACAAATCAGTCTTGATTTTATAGAATATAATCATAGTAATGCTTGATAATAAGATGATTTTTCATTTATTTATTTCTTTAACATAACCAAATCAACTGTCTGTTGTGTTGTATAATTTATTATCTATGCTCTCTAATTTTGATTTTTGCCTATTAAATATATATATTTCTTGTTACAATTTCTCCAAAAGATGTTTGCTTATAAAATTCCTATGTTTTTTCATTTATACACATGTTTATAACATTTCTATGCTTCAATGGATTAGCAAGGAGTTGTAAGTAATATGTAGATATAAAATCACTTAGTTATGTCAATATATCGCTTTATAACCCTGCAATAGGATATATTATTAAATGCTATATATTGGATAAGTGCCGAAAGATATCAACTTATAAACATAATGAATCATTCAAGGGCACAAGAATATAAAAAGTAAATTCACTCGACAATCTGCACAATTAAACAGATTAGCACAGCATAACGAAACAAGCACATTAGAACCAGTAATATTATAATTATAATCAGAATATTATTGCAATATTTAAGTAACTGTGTCTGGAGACGAAACAATATACAACGTTTATTATTATTTATGAATTTTAAAATGTTACAATCTTCATATTGTATTAACTCCAAACCCATTTACTAATTATCAATGTCCAAAAATAAATTACAAGAACAGGTTACAATATGTTAAAATTTCTCAATTTTTATTTAATTATATAATTAATATTTAAATATTTAGTTAACACTGACTCCTATTAAAATTTTAGCGATATTTGCCACCTTCATACACTATAGCGTTTCTGTGCTTGAGATGTCCTCCCAGTATACCTCATAAAAAATCGCTATAGAGATCGATCATAAATCACATTTTACCACTTGCATAAATAACAATGTTGAACACAAGACAATACGAGAAAAAATGCGACGCAATATTGGTCGTAAGTTTAGGACGGACCAGTGGAATACAAATATATGGCGTGATGCCAATTATAACATACATCCGAACATTCCTCAATATTGTTTATAATCACGAATAAATAACGAGTGAGAATCATTGTAGTTTTTAATACATACAATGTAAATATACTGTCTACATCAATTACTTCTAGCTAGCTAACATTAGCCAAGTTTATGATTTGTATCAAGAAATATAATTTATGTAGGCAACAATTGATACTGAATTAAAATTATTTTAAATCTAACTAAACGTAAGACTCGCTGTGTTAGATATAGGAGATATGACCCATTTATACTAATATTTTTATATGATGACTGTAATATTTTCCACCCTTCTAAAACATTTCATCTACTTGAGAGACGTTGGTAAGCTATTGAATTAATATATACTGTATCGTATGGGTAGTGTGTGTACGTGTACGTAACTAGTTACTTATATGAACCGTTAGTGGTGACGAATATCGCAAATAGATAATGAACTTTGTCCTTCATATGTTTTGATATTATTAATTTATACATATGGTAACCGTATATGGTGTTGTATTACGAGCAATGATAATCAATTGTACCATCTGTTAAATCTTATATAAAAATAAATTCCGTCCTATAAAATTTAATCCAAACTACATTCAGATGTGTCGCGTTGTCGGTGGTATAGATAGTTTAACAGATGGTACAATAGTGTACTAGTGTACACTGCGTACCGCGCCGGCTACTGTGCGTGTATTTGTACGTATCCGAGTGTAACGTTGGTGGATGTTGGCCAAGGACTGGGCGCAGTTGGTGCAGAGTCTCGTCGAGTCAGGCTGGACCGCGCACGTCCAAGTCGCGGAAAATGTACGACACCCCTCACACACACTATAACTGAATAGGAAGCTCTTACCAGAAATTAAACTAACTCTCAATGTTGTCTGCGTACTGAACGTGCAATGGTTCTAATTAAACATCGACATACACAGCAGAAATTTTTTGTTTATGTCAAAATTTATGTCAACTTTTAAGGTTTTTTCAGTATGGTAAATAATAATTCTATTAAGTGTCATATGAATTTTTTTCGTATATATAACCTTTGCGTGTACCAGTTTTCATTTGAAACAAATCTATCACAACAATATTTGTTATTGTTTTAAAATATCGACTTATTGTATAATCTCGTATAATTCCTGGTAAGGGCGGTAAAACTTGCAGTAGAAAAGAGAATGCAGAGTTACAATTTAGTTACAAGCTTCTATGCACCTGTATTCTCGTTTCTTGTCTATTCAGGTGTCAACATATCCACAATATAGAGACGTGCATATATTTAAAAAGATAAATTATATTCAATATCAGTAATCGATAAATTTTATAATTAATGTTGACGCCTTTATTTTATTCTGCCACAACAAGGCGTAATACATTATTGCACTATATAATTTTATTGTTTATTAATGTTTTTAATTTATTATATCACGCCGTATTCTAATTAATTATGGTTTCGACGAATTAAATAGTCACATGATTACGTTTAAATTTATGCTGTAAAAATAGTACTATTGTGATTTTCAATGGTGATTATTAATAATATGCACACATTATGTGTGTATATTATTTTGTCTTTCTATTCTATAGTTTAGTAAATTTAGTCTTAATCTTCTTCCACTACCCTTGCTCTATTATAAATCGGAAAATGAAGATGTAACTATATATTATTTTTGCAATAGTACTATTATTAATAAGTAAATTTTAATAAAATAGCTTCAATCGGTAGCCTATTATTTTTTTATTACTAAGTCGGCATGTTTCCATATAACCTGTATTATGTTTGCTTGTCATACTCGTATTGATGTCAGGTGCAAAATTAATAAGGCATTTATAAGTAGTAAACTAGAAATCTCATTACTTTAGACTTCGTAACAATGTTGCCATAGACACAAAATTCTAGCATGTACAATTCTTAAGTCATGTGATTTAAATGTACGAATTATAAAGCATGACCAATTAGTTACTCCTATATGATTTATTCAAGGCGGCTTTTAAATTACCATTTTATTTAATAAAATATCGATGTTTTTGTCATGTAAGACTCTTTTATTTACACTTCTCTCGCTTGAATTATGTCAATAGACCGCTTCTATAGTTTCGTATATTCAAAATAGTTATAGTAGATATTGTGAAGTCATGGCGTTTCTTTCAGGGTTTGCTGCATTTTTCTCGGTGTTTTTTTTCTTGCTTGCATTAAGTCTGCTATTGAAAATATAGATAAATAATTTGTGGTATTTAATCTACAGATGGACGCACCCGTTTCGAATTACAACACGACGTATATGAACCACAGTTCCCCGCATTCGCCACAGACGACGAATACGCCCCACACATATTCACAGGTAAAATATATTTGAGTCTTACGAGTATGTTGAAAAATGTTTTTTTAATTTTATTTTTGCTGGAGGATGAAGTAAAAAAGCATCTATTAATTGATATTAAATGTGCTGTCAAGCAGATCGCTTGTATATTATGTTCGGAATGAAGGTACAATTACTGTTTGAATGTTTATGTATCGGCTCGTGTATCAGGCGCCACAGGGCGGCGGCGGCGGCGGCGGCGGCGGTGGGGGCGAGACGCGGCGGGGCGGGCGCGACCCGGTGCCGGGCGGGGGCGGGTTCGCCGCGCTGCAGCCGCTCGCCTCCCCGTCCGCGCCGCCCACGCCCGCCACGCCCGCCAGCATACCCGACATCATACTCACCGGTAAGTTATTGTATCTTTACTAATATCAAAGCGTATTTTATAAATTGTCCACTGCCCTTATATTAACGTAATTGTAAAAAAATATATGTGCAAATATCTAGAAATATCAACTAAGCGCTACACAATATGCCTCGGTTCATGATATCGATATTGATAGGTATCATAAAAGCTATACTGTCTACTTAAAATGCAAAAGTTTCAAATTCAATTAACTGGTTGAATGTATTTTGTACAAACTTTCCTTTTTATTCAAAATTAAGTGAGCCTGAGCCAAAAGAATTTTTTTCTATCAGTCATCCAAAAAACTTGTCTATATAGAACAATATGTCTCGAATTAATTAATCGTTTAGAAATTACCAAAGACGTTGGATATTATATATGTAAACACCCGATTCCACGTTCTAAATTTAAATATTTACAATCATCTATAAAAAAAGACGTCGTCATGTATTGAATTCATGATTGAAATAGCTTTATTTGCGATGTAAAATGTTTATGTGTTAATTATAAATCGATATACCAGATTACTCGGGCGAAATAGACGCGGGCATATTCGGCGGGGAGGAGGCGCAGCTGCGCGAGGGTCTCGACCTGGACGACCTCACGCTGCTGGAGGAGCCGAGTGCGCTGCTGCCGGACTCGTCGGTGGAGCACGAGTTCCGGCTGGACCGCTTGTAGTACTGCGCCACCGCCGCCACTGCCACCGCCAGCCGCCCGCCGCCACCGTCGCCGTCGCCGTCGCCGCCATCGCCACCACCGCCACCGCCACCGCCGCCGTCACCTCCGCACACCGAGTGGCGCCGCTATTCGCATTCCGTCTGTATGTTTCCCAAGTTTGTCCGCGGTGTCACGGCAGCGTAACGGAGAGGCCGACGCGACGAGACTCCCTATACTTCATGACAATTTCTATCGTTTCAAGTCTGAGTTAGTGAACATAGGGCTCGGTGTAGCCGCCTGTAGTTATAGTAAGGTTACGTGAGTGACGCGAGGCCGAGGGGACGAGCGGCTGCGACTCGTCGACACATTCCCAGCACTGGGCGCGCCCGACACGTTCACAGTAGACTGTAACATTATGACGAGTGCAAGTGTTCATTGTGGTTTTAACATTTTACTCATGTTTCTAATTCGAAGGGTTAGGTATGTTATAGAATTAGATTTTTTAAATGGTAATCGATCAATTTATCGACGATTAGTGTACAGCATGAAGTGATTATTTTTTAATTAGTATTGTGAATATTTACTCGAATATCAATTAGGGAATTCAATTCGTATTAAATGGAGACAATTTTATTAATATTCTATATGTGAAGACCGCATTGGTCGTTTCTTTGTACATAAAAACTTGAAAGTGTTCACTTTATTGAAATTGCATTTAAATCGCTATTGTCGCATGGTCGTTTATATCATTTGGTTGCGTAAAACGAATTGTTAAATTATTACGTTTTATATTATGCACATTTCGTGAAGTATAAGATATCTAAGCTTACGGTTCCTGTGGCAAGTTTATTTGCAATTAGTACCTATATTGACAACATTTCTTGATATTTTCTTGATAATTCTAACATTTAGTCCATATAACTTTGATATTTTTAAAACCTTTTATGAATATCATAGTGGCAATAAGTAATGCTGTATCTTATACACAATTAAACTTATTAAAAAAAAAAAACAAAATCGAATTTAATATATCAATTATAAGAAAATATATAATGGAACTGTGGGCTCAGATTGCTTTCGTCACATTTGAAATCTTTGACATTTTAAAATAATTATCATTCAGCGATTGCTCAACCGTTGACTGAAATTTACATATTTAGCAAGATTAAACAATTTAAAATCAGCTTTAACTCCATTCAGGAGTAGTAAATATATTTGATGACTTCATTTTTCATCAATATTATTCAGCATGACCACGTTATGTCCCAATACCTTTGTACAACATGTTTAGAATAACAATTGAATAGCATTGTAAATAAGAATTGTTATTAAACATTTTAATAAGCTTTTGTCGCAAACATATCTTTGCCTGCATACAAGTGACAAATAATTCCATTTTTAAATGGGACTATTTATAATTATAAATAGCCAGATACCAAAGTTTCTATTTATCTATAAACCAAAGTCGATTGAAAAAATATAAGTAGCTTTATTCAACATTTTAAGTGGATAGTAGACTAATTACAGTCTCTTGCTGTACACACTTTATTTTTTTATATTAACAGGGGTTTATTAAAAGACTAGGCCACTGGACAATAGCTTTATTAACTTCCAGAAATGATTATACATCTTAAAGTATTTCTAAATGATTATTAAAGTAAATGATTTGATACCAAACTAAAATCTTTTAAGTTTGTTATTAAAATGGTGATGGTAAGAGTTTTTGTAAACATCATAATGTATATATAGAAAAATATATAAGACCACCATCTTAATAATAGACCATCTCATAGAATAGATCTTGAAATTAAAATAATATAATTTCCGAAAATTCACCCGAGATGACAGGTTCACGCGGGTAAAGCAGAAATAAACAACTACTATAAAATTACAGATAAGTTTTTAGTGTCAATTTTATTGTTAATTTATTGTTAAAATTTTAAGATACTCTAGAAAGAGCACTTTTAAACAATTATTCAGAAATGTTAAGATGCTGTCTTATTGTATGAAACGTATTTAAAACTGGGATTATTCACCACTTGTATAGGCTTTCTTGTGTATGTAGGTAAGAGTGGGATGCGAGACTCTACAACGAGAAATTTTTTATTTCACTATTTGTTACATTTTGATATCGGTCATAATTATTTTAGGGTGTTTGTAATGAATACTCGACACTGGGCCCGTGTGTATGTTCGCACGGTTTGAAATAACTGACCTAAAACTTTAAGTAGATGTTAAGTTTCTAAAGCATATAGTTGTTAGGCATTCTGTGCACTCGCAATATTAATTGCTGTTTAAGTTTCTACCTTCTCTCTTTAATGTTTATAATGTTAGTGACTTTATTGTCAAGATGAAAAATGTACAAATATATAATTTAGTGCGAATATATAATTTAGAAATTAATATTGCGAACGCGCTGATTCGAAAGTAGACACGTGTTTTGTTTTATAAATGCTCATTTTATTGTTTTTTAAGAGTCTAGTCATCAAGTTACGAGTTTCAAATGGAAATAGACCCTGTTTTTTGGCGTAAACAAATGAACCGGCGTTCATACTGTTTTAATTCCATTCCAAATGAATACAATTCGCATACATCTATGTATGAGTAACGGAATGGTTCGGTTAATAATTAAGTAATAGGTTACTTATTTGTGTAGAAGTGTTTGTTTGTACTCTTCTGTTCTTCTACAGTTACACCAATCACAAGTAGTTAATGTTTGAATTTGCGTTTTGAATATTGTACACAATAAACAATGTTCATATTGTTACTATCCTTCAAAGTTTACTTTCAATTCCCATATAAGGTTATAATACTGTATGACAGATGTAATGTACTGTATAAAGTAGTATGTACTATAAATGTGATAAATTAAAAAAAGCACAACATAAATCATAGCAAAGCCTAATCAGATGATAAAGTAAGTTTCTTTTCATAAATTTTAAAATAGTGTTTTCTAAATTAAATACATTATGTACATGTTATAAGCTAGTGTCTGCCAAATGCAGAGTATGTATGGACCTGAGAGTCTTGGGTAGGACTCGAGTCTAAGTCAGAGGCAATATTACTGTGTTTTATATTTTGGAATTTTATCAACATGCCATACGATGTGATTCATTATATTAATTCAATGTTATACGAATTGTTACATTATTTTATTGTTTTCTATCATTAGGAGTGCAATGCCAAATTTCAAAATTACTTATTCTCTACCCAGTAATGTTGTGTTGGATCAGAGATCTGGCAGTAGGCGACCTATTTTCTATTGCCTCATTGCATTTGATGTACTCATAGTTGTAAAATCTTTTGGTTTTTTTTTTTACCTTTTGCATTTTGGAGTTAGGTTACGTATTTAGGTAACGTAGGGTATAATGTACATGTGCAGGTATGAGAAAGCTTTCATTTGGAAGCAACGAGACACCAAAATGTGTGATCGACTATTTCTACAAATCCTTTTAACTATTTGATCTATTTGTATGACATTAAATCTAGGACATAAATGTTTTTTCTCAAATATGCACAAACTTAACGAGGATTTTGCAGTAAAATTTCAAAGGTTTGTTTTATTTAAACCAAAATGTACATAATAAGTGTGATAGAGATGAAACGGTCTCATTTAAAATAAAATTGTTGTAAGTATTTGCGTGTTTTTACTTTATCCTGCAAATTAGTTATTTTATTTTGAAAAAAAAAACAGTATACAATATCAGTAAGCACAGATATAATACTTCTGGATTTTCTATAACTTAATTCCACCTATAGCTTCAAAATAATTTCTGCATGCAAACTGCAATCAGAATCAATGTTATTATATTGCACGCATTTTTAATTTTCAGTAAAAAAATCTTAATTACTAAGGTAATGAACGAGTTAAAATTCTATAATTGTTATCTAGAAAGCGACTTTTTATATGGGATTATTATGGACTAATATAAAATGAATATTAAATCCTCTTTAGAGTGTATAATTTCTTTTTTATTTTTTGTCTTTGAAGAATATTTAAACAAATGAAGCATCGGCAAAAAGCTCCAATAGTTGGTGCTAATCACTGTCAGATTTTATAATAGATTTTTATTGCGAATTATTAAAATATAAAAAAATGCGTTGCTTTATAACGCCTGTTCTATTGTGGATGTTGTTCCTGTCGCCGACGTTTTGCAGATCGGCGCCTGTTGAAGAGGAAAGTGATGGGTAACAAAATTATTCATTGTTAAGATACAAGATCGTATGTATGAGCTAGAGTTTGAAACTGCAACAAAATACGAATTTCTACATTGTGTAAATCCATACCTAATAGTAGTATATTTTGATAATTGTCAATTGCTGTCAAGTCATAGCCCAGGGGACCAGTGTAGGTTAAAACGATCAGAATGAAGTCAGGCGGAGAATTCACTAGGAATTAATCACGTTGGATTCCAGGGGAGACCGCATGGAGGTTGACCTTACAAATGTTTCGAATTTTTTTTTTTGTAATTATGTATATATGTTTTACAATGGAGAACTCATTGTATGAAATCGAATAAAATAATAATATACTATGCATGTTATGATTTTTTTCTATCAACTGGAAATAGCAAATTGGTGCTATTATATTGTTCGAACGTACTTAGGTACCTACTTACTAATGCGATTAATATTTGTTCAACCGTTATTTTGGGCAAAAAGCACATCAAACATTATGTATAAAAATGACTCATTTGGAATTCTGAAACCCATACAATTTTTATGAAAAAAGCTATAAATCCTAAATAGTAGGTCTCCCTTAGGGGAGAAAGGGATTGTTAGTAATGTTGTTAGTAACCTTATTTCCCCATTACTAACAAAACCTTGGAAACTATCATGGTTAATTCTAGTGCAATTCCTCAGGATGGGCCAACTGACTTGCTTTCATCGTCACCTATCATCCCTCACCGGTATTCCACCAGCGTATACCGATAGCCCAGACGGGATTACCATTTCATTATCATCCATTAATTTTTTTTTAACTCTAGCAGATGTAATTTAAAAGACTTATGTTTACCTGTATCAAAGTCTCTTATGAGAAAATTTATAAATACTCTTCTATCTTTTTCTAGTGACATAGAGGAAGCAGAATACGAAGGCGAAGATGCAGCCGTGATAGACGACGCTGTAGACGATGGAGATGCTCGACTTGACAGTCAGGCTCAGGTGTGAATTGTTAATATTATTTACCTATGTTACCCATCTGCATTACCTATATCCACCGGAGGAAAAAGGATTGTTAGTAACGGGATTTAACAACCTCATTGCTAGCGATATACTCTATCAGGTCGACCCCCATGTGATTTCCCCTGGAAACCATCGCGGTTAATTCTTGTAGAATTCATCACAATGGGTGAACTACCCTGCTTTCATTCCCACCTATCATCTCTCATTGGTGCCCCGCTAGCGTATATCGATAGCAGGTTTACCATTTCATTCTCACCCATTAAAATACCAATACCCACCGTACTGTATATGAAGTATAGGTACTTATCTAATCTTACCGTGGTTTTGTTAACTTACATATATATATATATATATATATATATATATATATATATATATATATATTGGATAAAAATGGAATAGTAACCCCGCCTACATATCGATTAAAAACGTTGCATGAGACGTTATTAGAGTTAATGATGCATGCAAAAGCTTTAAGCTATTAAATAAAAAACTAAACAAACAGACACTAGCTAAAATAACATATACTTTTAATAAGTATATTGATATAGTAGGTTTTACAAGAAAATATTCGAATAAAAGTATATGAATGTAATATCTTCAGTTTTCAGACTACAAGAAATCAAGTGGTCAGACCGCAAATTTATTAAAATCGAATGACGATATTCGTGTACTTCATAGATTCCAGCAGCCTAATAGATACATTGAAAGTGATACAAATGATCAATCTGAAATATCACAACATTTGACTAATCGCGACGTTAATAACTTTAAAGAAAATCATATGCAACAAGGCGTACCAGACGAATTTAACAAACCAACGATTCAGCAAATTGATTCTAGCAATGAAGACGATGCTTTTTTTGAAAATAGAAATCGAGCTCAGTTAAATAATCTTTCGAAAAATATATATAATAATGAAGTTGCTGATTCAAATGAATCTCCGCGTTTTTCAAATCAGTATCGTAATATAGTTCAAAAAGCTAAGAAAAGAGCCAACAATGATAAAACTTCTGATAATATACATTATAAATTAAACAGAGGCAAACGCCGAACGGAGGAGGTATATATGCAGGAAACTGAATTGTCATCTGATATGCCCAATAAAGAGAGCAGTGATGAAAGTATTGATGAAAGTGACGAATCGGCTATTAAAAGGCACATAAAAAAATTATCCGGAGAAGAACTGAAAGAGCTTCTAAATTCTCTTTCGGAAGACAAAAAAGTGCTTCTTAACAAAATTATCGAAAATGATCAAAACGCTGAAAATATCAATAAGCGGGAAATTACAAAAAAAGCAGGAGCCATTGAAGAAAATATTTATTTAGAAAGTGGGATTTCAGATTCTAGCAAAATACTAAGTAGCAGTGCATTAGTGGATAGTACTGAAACTGTATCGTCACGAAATACTAACACAACAGAAAATACTAAAGAACCTGAGAATCAATCGGAAGTACCTGAAGTATCAACAGTTAAAAATAACCACCCTGAATCATTCGAGAGTAAAAGAGAAATAAAAAGCTCCATTGACGAAGTAAACCAAAAACATGCAGATGAAAATTCGAATAATTGTGCACTTACTACCATTAATAAAAATGAAGCTAATGTCGAATCAAATGCTCAAGTAACTTCTAAAAATGAAAATAAAAGAGAAATTGCTGTAGATGAATTGGCTAACATTGATGTATCTTTTGATAACACAAAATACAATAATGATTTAAACTTAATAGATTCACTGGATCCTTCCATTGAGCAAAATTATGTGTGTCCCCAAGATGAAGATTTATCGGAACTAAGGGACGACGAAACTCAGCCATATAATTCAGGTCATAATAATAAACGTGATACGTATACTGAGAATGAAATTGATTTAACTGACTCAATAAAATCTTTAGAAGAGTCATTCCCAAAAGAAAATGGTTATGACGAATCAAATCGGTATTCTGAGTCGAATTTAGTACCTTTAGTTAGAGTTAAAAGAAAAAATGATGAAGTGGCTGTGCAAAAAAGAGCTTTAGCTATATTTCCAGATACTAAGGTGGCATATTGCCCTTATAAAGCTGAGAATGTTGACGAAGACAATGATGAAGGCAACGAATTTGAAGACGATGGATTTTATGACAAAACATCTAATTATGCAAAAAATAACTTGATTAGCAAACTTGCCGAAGATTCTCGATCTAAAGTTCGTTCTAATTTGCATGTCAATGTTAAAAATGATATTAATCTCGGATCAGATACTGATAATGTATTATCAGGTGTTGAAGGAGTAGATGATAATCTGATGTATAACAGCGGTTCCCGGAAAAGACGCAATACAAAAGATAATACTGAGCTCTACAAATCAGAAAAGGCTGCCCCATTAATTGACGAAATGAAAACATTTTCAAGCACTCATGAAAATATGCTCAGTTACCAATCAAATGATGCTTTTGGTCCTTTGCCACAAAATTCTGAAGGTGATTTAGGACGCAACAAACGAATAAGACATTTAAAGTCCTTGTCTGACCATTAAACTGGCTGTTATTACTGACTAACGATTAAAGTAAACTTTAATGTAATTAAAGCTTTAAGTAGATACTTTAACAGGTCTGTCCTAGTTTTTATTTCTGTTAATTTACATTGTTTTAGAATTATTTATAAGTTCCACTATGTTCTGTAATTGTTGCTACTTATAATGATTGCTTATTAAAATATATATATATATATATATATATATATATATATATATATATATATAGTTACTTAGTAAATAATTTTACTGTACTATTTTTTAGGTTCACGTCAAAATTGTCAGTTCTACTTGAAACTAAAAACTATAAACCACTTGACCAGTGTTATGATACTCGTAATAGGATTACATTGTCATTTTGAAATAGAGTGAAATTTGAATGGTTAGTATAAGTTGCTATGATAAATCGTTCTTTCGCCGAAACGACTCTGCCGATTTTTATGTATATTTGATAGATATGAGAATAGGTCGTAAAGTATATTACACACCGTTAAGTGATTAGAGTGTTCCTATTCATAAAAAAAATATTTATATAGCAGAACAACATTTGCCAGGTCAACTAGTAGTAGTTTTAATAAAATATATCGTCCAATCCATTCCACTACTGATGAAAAATGGTAACCGTCTTCTAAAGACATTAATAGCATCATTTACATCACATAATATACTGCAACGGCCAAGTACACCTCATGTATTACCATTTCCAACGACTAAGGAGTAATGCTTTTCAGTACTACTTTTTATCTGCGACTTCTTCCACGTGACCGGGATATGTTTACTAACTGGGATAAAATTAGCCTATATCCATCTCCATCGTATATAGTACGTGTATACCAATTTTCATAGTAATTGATCATGCCTTGCATTATAGGTGCTATAAGGTGTCAAACAAACAAACTCATTTTTACATTTATAATAGTACAAATAATAGGTATAACAATAATTACATAGCGATATAACCATACCTTCTTCTTAATAAACACGTTTAACTTCTCATAAACCTATTTCAGCTATTGAACTATTTTGTCTCTTTCTATTGAGTTAAATTTCCAATTTAAAAGAAAGTAACAAAGTAGTGTAATAAATAAAATAGATTTATAGAAGGTTTTAATTTTTATGAATAACGAGGTTAAACTAACTCATTAAAATAGCCATTTTAGTGACAGAGATGGGACAAAGGTATTTATTCATAGAGAACCTTTATAATGTAAATGCTAAATAAGAAACACCGTATAGTATAAAATTTTATTACATGGCAAAGTTTGACAAAAAATAAAATATAAGATAATAATAATTTGTTAAACAAATGATTTTTATGCAATATTAAGAAGAATAAGAAGGATACCTACGTTAAACACAAATCATAAAATATTATTATGATTAAGACTAGCAATGTTAGCGCCTTTAATATTTTATTTATACGTTGATAACGATTAGATTACGATGACATAAGAAGCTTGCTTAAATACGGAATGGTATAGTAAAAGAAGACAATAATATTATTTCTGAGTCACTTTTGTTGCATAAAATTTGTGTTCACGGGAATCTCGCGTATGCTTGAATGGTGTACTCGGCGCTTCTATTAGAGTTGCCGGACAAGTTCCATGTACATGGGATGTATACTCGCGCTTATAGCTAGTGGCACCATCTCCCAGCATGAAATGTGATGCATTACCGTGACGAGTAACGCGTTCCACTCTTTGAACGCGCTCTAAATGTTCAGACCGCTCAGCTCTTTGTGAATGTTCTGATCGCGAAAAACTGCCATACGATCGAGCCTCGGACTGTCCATAGAAATCCCCACCAACTCGAAGATTATCTCTGGCAACTATTCGAGGTTGACGCTCTATCACTAAAGTTGATTGACCATCCCTTCTGCTTTGACTTCGACGATCCGAACTTTCAGTGTGTTGAGATATAACAGCCATGTTATCTCTAGCAGAGCGATGCATAGAGCTAATGCTCTTTCTATCTGAACTCTGAGTAGAATTACTTATGTATTCTCCGCGCTCACCAAGATTGCCAATGCTTTTTCGTTGTGCGGCTGCCGTGGAACTAATAGAATGCTGAGCTTCGGTACTGGACGAAATTCCTTTACGATGCAAAACAGCGTTCGTTGACGATGAATCAGATACCAAATCAGAGGTACGTTTGTGATGACCAACACGAGATGAATTGTCAACCACAGAAGATTTAGTATCATCACCGCCGTGCATTGCTCTCTGAAATTCAATGCTTGTTTTTGTTACACTATCACTTAATTGATTTCTATTTATCGTTTGAGAATGAGTAGATCTTGAAATATTCTGTTCTAAATGACTTCCTTTTGAAACATGTGTTGATACATTTCGTCCAATTTGGTTGCTAGAAGTTGAATGATGCTGTAAATTAGATCCTTGATTTGTTGAGGATGATACGATGCCCTGAACATAATCATTATTTACTTGTTTATTTACATAATTACCAGAAGAGGACTGTTGAGTTGATCTTATTGTATTTTGCTCTATGTGACTTTTTTGTGCAATATTAGAAGTAGATTCCACCTGACGTTGAATTTTATTGTTTGAAATATCATTTGTTTCACCGTAATTTGTAGATGATACTGTAGATTGCCTTGATGATACCGTTCTTGGTTGGTAATCACCAGTTTGATTGTTAAAATCAGATTTTTTAATGGACGATAAATTCTTTTCTTGCAAATGACTTTCTTTAGAAATATGCGTATTAGAAATATTGCGCTGAGTGTGACTTTCTGCAGTAACTTGTCGTTGATGAGAATTAAAATCATGGTTGTCAGTAAATTGCTCAGGTCTTTGTGTTGTACTCCCAGTGTGCAGTCCAAATTCTTTAGGACCTTTTGTATCGCCGCCTGGTACTACACTGGTTTCTACATTTCGTGTAACTGTAACCCACTTGCCTGCAATCAGTTTCTTTTCTGTTACTTGTTTCATTATTTTCGTAGTAGATGATATATTCTTCGAAACTTTGGAATCGGATTTTTGTATTGAATTTTTGTCAATTACAGAGCGTGATGTAGAGCGATCAGTAGAGTAAGGAGATTGAGCTCTATCAATAGCATCATGAGATCTCGGCCGATCTAGAGACTGCCCAACTACTTCCTTAGAGGACGCAATGGTATTTTTTGAATGTGTTCCAGATTGAATGTGCTTTGATGTTGTATGTTCAGCAGTGCTATGAGTAGTAAATTGTTTGGAATGCTTTTCTGTGGAATGCAATTTATGTGTTTCACGATCATCCTTAAATTGGGCATTAGTTCTCGTAATATTTACACTAGATTGGATATTATGATCATCATGACTAGTTACATACTTTCCGTCTACTGTATTTGTAGTAATCTCATTTGTTACAGACCTACTAATATCACCATTAGTTTGAAGATTATCTTTAGGTTTTATCGGAGAAGGCTTTTCCGTAGGACTCCATTTTTGTGAAACTGGACGATCAAAATCGCCTTCAGGACGTAAATTATCCTTAGGACGAACCTGTGCAGGAGTTTCACCAGGAGACCATTTAGTAACAACGCGTGTGTCCATAGTACCTTCTGGGTGTAAATTATCTTTTGGTTTTGCAGGACTTGGTCTTTCTCCTGTTTGCCACTTTGGCCTAGAGGGACGATCAAATTCACCTTCTGTCTTCAAATTATCTTTTGGGCGTACCTGGGATGGCGTTTCTCCGGGTTGCCATTGAGTTTTTGGCCTACTTTGGAAATCACCTTCAGGATGTAAATTATCTTTGGGTTTTGTTTGTTCAGGTCTATCTCCTGTAGTCCACTTCGGTCTTACAGGTCGATCAAAATCTCCCTCGGGCTTTAGATTGTCTTGTGGTCTTACTTGTGAAGGCGTTTCACCAGGCTGCCATTGAGTTTTTGGTCTTCTTTCAAATTCACCTTCTGGTTTTAAATTATCTTTTGGCCTTATTTGATCTGGAGTTTCTCCAGGTTGCCAATGATGTTCAGGTTTCTTTTCAAATTTTCCATCAGGATAAAGATTATCTTGTGGTTTTTTACCTTGAGGTCGGTCTAGTTTTTCATTTTCTATTTCATGTATCGGTCTTCTTTCAAAATCTCCTTCCAGTTTTAAATTGTCAGGATGATAAACTATAGCTGATCTTTCACCTTTAGTTATTTTATAATCATCTCTACGTGTATGGTCTTCAAATACTCCTTCAATTTTCAGATTGTCTTCCCTTCTTGTTAATTTAACTCTTTGTCCTTTAACAACTCGATAAGTATCCGATGATCTAATATTCTCCATTTTACCTTCCATTTTTAAATTATCTTCATGTTTTACAACGGCAGATTTTTCACCTCTTACAACACTGTAATCATTTCGCTGTTTCATATCAATGAATTCACCTTCTATTTTAAGATTATCCTCTCTCCTGATGATATCAACACGCTCGATCTTTTGCTTTTGACGTATATCAGTATCTCTTTCAATAGTAATATTATCAACTTGCTTAAACGGTTTACGTTTTTCTGCTGGCTGAGAGGGAACCATTTCTGGTTTGTAAAACTTGCCATCAGGTTTTAAATTATCCTGAGGTTTTACGACTGGAGCTCTTTCACCTTTTGTTGCACTATAATCATTACGTACTTGGAGGTCAATAAATTCACCTTCGGTTTTCAAATTATCTTCATGTTTTCGAACAATGACTTTTTCTACTGTATCAATGCGTTTATAATCATCTCGAGATCGACGAACATCAATCTTTCCTTCCATTTTAAGATGATCTTCGTGTCTCACTACATCAACACGATCACCCTTTGTTGCAGTATAGTCTGTACATCGTACTACTTCCATGTTACCTTCAGGTTTCAAATTATCTTCAGGCTTCTTTTGAACTGGTCTTTCACTTGGAACATGTTTTGGTTTTTCTGGTCTGTCGAATTGACCCTCAGGTTTTAAGTTGTCTTTTGGTTTTTTAGGTGTTTGTCGTTCAGCTGGATGCCATTCGTCTTGTTTTGGTTGCGCAAATTCTCCTTCAGGTTTGAGGTTGTCTTTAGGCTTTTTCACTTCCGGTCGTTCAGCAGGACGCCAATCATCATGTTTAGGTTGTGTAAATTTACCCTCCGGTTTAAGATTATCCTTCGGTTTCTTTTGTGTAGGACGTTCAGCAGGGCGCCATTCTTCTGGTTTTGTTTTTTCAAATTCTCCTTCTGGTTTTAAATTATCTTCAGGTTTCTTAACAATTGGTTTCTCAGCTGGACGCCATTCATCATATTTCGGGGTTTCAAAATCTCCTTCTGGATGGAGATTATCTTTTGGTTTTATGGGTGTTTGTCGTTCTGCTGGTTTCCATTTATCTTGTTTTGGTTTCTCAAATTCGCCTTCTGGTTTAAGATTATCTTTAGGTTTTATTACTTCAGGTTTTTCTGCCGGACGCCATTGATCCTGCTTAGGCTTTTCAAATTCACCCTCTGGTCTTAAATTATCCTGGGGTTTCTTAGGCGTTTGTCTTTCAGCAGGCTGCCATTTATCATGCCTTGGTTTTTCGAATTCACCTTCAGGTTTCAAATTATCTTGCGGTTTTTTCACTTCAGGTCTTTCAGCTGGACGCCATTTATCATGTTTAGGTGTTTCAAACTCTCCTTCTGGCTTTAAGTTATCTACAGGTTTTTTAGGAGTTTGTCGTTCTGCAGGCCTCCATTCATCATGTTTGGGTTGTTCGAATTCTCCTTCGGGTTTAAGATTATCTTTAGGTTTCTTTTGCGTTACACGTTCAGCAGGTCGCCATTTATCTTGTTCAGGAGTTTCAAACTCACCTTCAGGCCTTAAATTGTCTTGTGGTTTCTTAGGTGTTTGTCTTTCAGCAGGCCGCCATTCATCTTGTCTGGGCTGCTCAAATTCGCCCTCTGGTTTAAGATTATCTTTAGGTTTCTTTTGCGTTACACGTTCAGCAGGACGCCATGTTTCTTGCTTAGGGGTTTCAAATTCTCCTTCTGGTTTCAAATTGTCTTGTGGTTTTTTGGGCGTTTGTCTTTCAGCAGGTCGCCACTCATCATGCTTAGGTTGTTCAAAGTCACCCTCTGGTTTAAGATTGTCCTTTGGTTTCTTTTGCGTTACACGTTCAGCAGGACGCCATTCTTCTTGTTCAGGAGTTTCAAATTCACCTTCTGGCCTTAAATTGTCTTGAGGTTTCTTAGGTGTTTGCCTTTCAGCAGGCCGCCATTCATCATGTTTAGGCTGTTGAAAATCACCCTCTGGTTTAAGATTGTCCTTTGGTTTCTTTTGCGTTACGCGTTCAGCAGGACGCCATTCTTCTTGTTCAGGAGTTTCAAATTCACCTTCTGGCCTTAAATTGTCTTCAGGTTTCTTAGGTGTTTGCCTTTCAGCAGGACGCCATTTTTCTTGCTTAGGAGTCTCAAATTCACCTTCTGGCCTTAAATTGTCTTGAGGTTTCTTAGGTGTTTGCCTTTCAGCAGGCCGCCATTCATCATGTTTAGGTTGTTCGAAGTCACCTTCCGGTTTAAGATTGTCTTTTGGTTTCTTTTGTGTTACACGTTCAGCAGGACGCCATTTTTCTTGCTTAGGAGTCTCAAATTCACCTTCTGGCTTCAAATTATCTTGTGGTTTCTTTGGCGTTTGCCTTTCAGCGGGTCGCCATTCATCGTGTTTAGGCTGTTCGAAGTCGCCTTCTGGTTTAAGATTGTCTTTTGGTTTCTTTTGTGTTACACGTTCAGCAGGACGCCATTCTTCTTGTTCAGGAGTTTCAAATTCTCCTTCAGGCTTTAAATTGTCTTGAGGTTTCTTAGGCGTTTGCCTTTCAGCAGGCCGCCATTCATCGTATCTGGGCTGTTCGAATTCACCCTCTGGTTTAAGATTGTCTTTTGGTTTCTTTTGTGTTACACGTTCAGCAGGACGCCATTTTTCTTGTTGAGGTGTTTCAAATTCACCTTCTGGCCATAAATTATCTTGAGGTTTCTTAGGAGTTTGTCGTTCAGCAGGCCTCCATTCATCATGTTTAGGCTGTTCGAACTCTCCTTCGGGTTTAAGATTGTCTTTAGGTTTCTTTTGCGTTACACGTTCAGCAGGTCGCCATTTTTCTTGTTCAGGAGTTTCAAATTCCCCTTCTGGTTTCAAATTATCTTGTGGTTTTTTGGGTGTTTGCCTCTCAGCAGGCCGCCATTCATCATGTTTAGGTTGTTCGAAGTCACCTTCCGGTTTAAGATTGTCTTTTGGTTTTTTTTGCGTTACCCGCTCAGCAGGACGCCATTCTTCTTGCCGAGGAGTTTCAAATTCACCCTCTGGTCTCAAATTATCTTGTGGTTTCTTAGGTTCTTGCCTTTCAGCTGGTCGCCATTCATCGTGCTTTGGCTGTTCAAAGTCTCCTTCAGGCTTAAGGTTATCTTTAGGTTTCTTTTGCATGGGACGCTCAGCAGGACGCCATTCTTCTTGTTTTGGTTGTTCAAATTCACCTTCTGGTTTAAGATTATCTTTTGGTTTTTTTTGGGTAGGTCGCTCAGCAGGACGCCATTCATCGTGTTTTGGTTGTTCAAAATCTCCTTCAGGTTTTAGGTTGTCTTTTGGTTTCTTTTGTATAACACGTTCAGCAGGACGCCATTCCTTTGGTTTGGGAGATTCGAATTCACCTTCAGGTTTTAGATTGTCTTGTGGTTTCTTGGGAGTTTGTCTTTCAGCTGGGCGCCATTCTTCTTGTTTAGGCTGTTCAAAGTCACCTTCTGGTTTTAGATTATCTTTTGGCTTCTTTTGTACAGGACGATCAGCAGGACGCCATTCTTCTGAAATAGGATTTTCAAACTCTCCTTCAGGTTTTAAGTTATCCTGCGGTTTTTTGGGTGTTTGTCTCTCTGCAGGGCGCCATTCTTCCTGTTTCGGTTTTTCAAATTCACCTTCTGGTTTTAAATTGTCTATCGGTTTCTTGGGTTTAGGTCTGTCAGTAAGCTTTGGTTGGAAAGTATCTTGAGATACTGTATGGCTTTCAAAAGTACCTTCTAAATGTAAGTTGTCTTGTCGTATTATTTGTTGTTGCCTCACATCAACCTCTTCGTAAGTTCTATATTCTTCTTGCGTTGTAGTAACTTTTTGTAAATCATCTGTTGAATAGAATTTTTCAAAATCTTCTTTAGTCCATGTACGACGTCTTTGAGGTCTTTCTACTGGTGCAACTTTTTCTGTATAATCTTTCTGATTTGAAGTTACAAATTCGATTTCACCTTCTCTTATTATGTTATCTGTTCTCCGTGCAACCAAAGTAGATCTTTCTACAATATCTGTGTAATCTATAAATTCGGATTTAGATGTTGTATCTGTTATCATGTCCCCTTCTATTTTCGTCCAAGTGTTCCGTCTCACTGGTGTAGGTCTATCTACTGGTTTTCCAGTATATTCAGTACGCGTAGTTGTCGTATCTGAAACGAAAATAATATATAATTTAATTCATGTAACATACATTAAAATTATTTGTTACATTAATTAATATAATTTAATATAATAATTATACGTACACATCTGTTATTATCATTACCTATCCTAATAATAAAACAACATTAATAGAGTATGCTACTAGCATTAAATTCGCTTTATATAACATATTTTAATCAGGTCGATAAAGATCGATAAACCAGAGGGAGACTTTGTACAAAAGTCGATTGTTTAGGTACCTCTGTCCCATTCGTGTTTCTACCGTGAAGCAGTTGTTTTTGCATAGTTGTTTCGGTTTAAAGGGTGGGATATGACGTGAATTTACAGGGTACATAGGAATAACATCAGAGTCCTCAGGAATGGCAACGCATGGGGGGTATCATGGGCGAAACAGTCTACTCTGTTATATCCATGGTACTGCTCATGTTTATAGGCGACGGTATCACTTTCCATCAGGTGAGCCGTCAGCTTGTTTGCCATTCTAAGTTATATAAAAAACAATTATGTGTATAAAAAAATACCCTTAAAATTACTATGTAATAATTATATTAAATGCATTGCCTATAATTTGTTACTATTAAAGTATAAAAAAATAGTAAACTAACTAATGTATTTCCCCAATTATATTATACTTAATAAGATAAAAGAAATTACATATGCATGCAAACTTTTAAGAATTGAAAAAAACGCTTTTTAGAATAGAATAAAGTTTATAGTCTGATGAAAAATTATAACCATATAGTATAAATATCGTATAATCACAGATACCTCTCACGTGTTTCTAGTCCTAAGAAATAATATTATGCTTTCATATCCTGAACTTCACTTAAAATAAGTATACTTATATATTTTTATATAAATAATATTGTATCTCACCTGTGAATTCGCCTTCTGTGATAATATTATCTGTTCGTCGAATTATTTGAGCTCTTTCACCAGTAACAACTTTATAGTCTTCAGTTATGGTCCTGGTGGTTGTAAATTCTCCTTCAGGTCGTAAATTATCCTCCGGTTTCTTAACTATAGCTTTATCAGCAGGAACAAACTCATTGGGTTTTCGTTTAACAAAATCACCTTCAGGTTTTAAATTATCTATTGGTTTTTTCTGCAGAGGTCTTTCAGCAGGTCTCCATTCCTCTTTTCTTGGGGTGGTAAATTCTCCTTCTGGTTTTAAATTATCTTCAGGGCGCTTAACTGGTTCACGTTCACCAGGTTGCCATTTTTCCGGTTTTCTAATTTCAAAATCACCTTCTGGCTTAAGATTATCTTGCGGTTTCTTTTGAATTGGACGTTCTGCAGGTCGCCAAGCTTCCTTTTCGGGAGTAGTGAAATCACCTTCTGGTTTAAGATTATCATCAGGGCGACGGACTGGTGCTCTATCTCCAGGCCGCCATTCTTCGGGTTTACGTTTCTCAAAGTCTCCTTCAGGCTTGAGGTTATCTTCTGGACGTCGTACAGAGGCTCTATCGCCAGGTTGCCATTCTTCCGGCTTACGTTTCTCAAAATCACCCTCCAGTTTAAGATTGTCATCTGGTTTTTTAGGTTTCTGTCGTTCAGCTGGCCGCCAGATTTCTTTTTCTGGAGTAGTAAACTCACCTTCTGGCCTCAAATTATCGTCAGGGCGACGTACAGGTGCTCTGTCACCGGGACGCCACTTTTCAGGATGACGCTTTTCAAAGTCTCCTTCTGGTTTAAGATTGTCTTCAGGACGACGAACTGGAGCTCTCTCACCCGGACGCCATTCGTCTGGTTTGCGTCTTTCAAAGTCCCCTTCAGGCTTAAGGTTATCTTTTGGACGGCGTACAGGGGCTCTATCACCAGGTTGCCATTCTTCAGGCAGACGTTTCTCAAAATCACCCTCCGGTTTTAGATTGTCATCTGGTTTTTTAGGCTTCTGTCGTTCAGCTGGTCGCCAGATTTCTTTTTCTGGAGTAGTAAACTCACCTTCTGGCCTCAAGTTATCATCAGGACGATGTACAGGTGCTCTATCACCGGGACGCCATACCTCGGGATGTCGCTTTTCAAACTCTCCTTCAGGTTTAAGATTGTCTTCAGGACGGCGAACTGGAGCTCTATCACCCGGACGCCATTCATCTGGTTTGCGTTTTTCAAAGTCTCCTTCAGGCTTAAGGTTATCCTTTGGACGTCGTACGGGAGCTCTATCACCAGGTTGCCATTCTTCAGGCTGACGTTTTTCAAAATCACCCTCCGGTTTTAGATTGTCATCTGGTTTTTTAGGCTTCTGTCGTTCAGCTGGACGCCAAGGTTCTTTATCTGGAGTAGTAAAATCACCTTCTGGCCTCAAATTATCATCAGGGCGACGTACTGGTGCTCGGTCACCGGGACGCCATTCCTCAGGTCTCCGCTTTTCAAAGTCTCCTTCTGGTTTAAGATTGTCTTCAGGACGACGAACTGGAGCTCTATCACCTGGACGCCATTCTTCAGGCTTCCGTTTTTCGAATTCTCCTTCAGGTTTAAGATTGTCTTCAGGACGACGAACGGGAGCTCTGTCACCCGGACGCCATTCATCTGGTTTGCGTTTTTCAAAGTCCCCTTCAGGCTTAAGGTTATCTTTTGGACGGCGTACAGCAGCTCTATCACCAGGTTGCCATTCTTCGGGCTGACGTTTCTCAAAATCGCCCTCCGGTTTTAGATTGTCATCTGGTTTTTTAGGCTTCTGTCGTTCAGCTGGACGCCAAGGTTCTTTATCTGGAGTGGTAAAGTCACCTTCTGGCCTCAAATTATCATCAGGACGACGTACAGGCGCTCTGTCACCGGGACGCCATTCCTCAGGTCTTCGCTTCTCAAAGTCTCCTTCTGGTTTAAGATTGTCTTCAGGTCGACGGACTAGAGCTCTGTCACCTGGCTTCCATTCTTCAGGACGACGTTTTTCAAAATCACCTTCTGGACGTAAATTATCTTCTGGACGACGAACAGGTGCCCGATCACCTGGACGCCATTCTTCTGGTTGACGCTTTTCAAATTCCCCTTCTGGCTTTAAGTTATCTTCAGGCTTTTTAGGTTTTTGTCTATCAGCCGGTTTCCAGGGTTCTTTCTCTGGAGTAACAAATTCACCCTCTGGCCTTAAATTATCGTCTGGCTTACGAATAGGAGCACGATCTCCTGGTCTCCACTCATCAGGCCTTCGCTTTTCAAAGTCACCTTCAGGCTTCAGATTATCTTCTGGTTTCTTCACTGGAGCCCTTTCACCTGGTTGCCATTCTTCTGGGTGTCTTTTCTCAAAATCACCTTCAGGTTTGAGGTTATCTTCAGGCTTCTTCGGCTTAGGTCGCTCAGCCGGTTGCCAACGTGGTCGTTCAGGTTCTTGAAAATCTCCTTCAAGATGTAAATGATCCTCATGGTGTACGGCGGTGGTGCGACTCACATGCTTTTCGTCATAATCATGTTTGTATGCGGAGACCACGCTCGTCGTGTGCTCCACATCGAACAATGGCTCCGGGACATCGTTGTGTGGGCAGCGGTGACGCCTGAAGAAAATTTGAAAAAATTATTCATATATATATAAATAAATGTAATATATAATGAATAGTGCTAATGATGCTACAAAATGCTATCAAATATTAAACTAAGCAAAATTTATGGGATATATTACAGTGACAATAATCTTAGATTTTATATAAATACATAAATACATGGAAATCATCTAAACTGATACAAACACACATAATAATATAGTATTTATTACTATATTATTAGTATTATTTATATTATGCGTGCATTGAACACACAACCATTGGATTGTGAAAGCAACGTGTTAATCCACTACACGAGTAAGTTTATATGCAACATGTAAGCATAGGTATTGTCATCTTATTGCTATTATTTAAAATGTTAATTGTAAAACATAATTAGTTGCTTTGAACAGTCACACCTTTTGATTCGATAGGGATGTAAATAGATAGGGAAACGTCTTGGAGGTGGCAGAGGCGGCAGCGTCAACGGTTCGGCCATCGCACCCACCCATCGCGCTCGCTTCCCACCTTTCCCTTACATACGAGATACGTAACTGGCTCTCACGATACTCGTGATAAGTATCTCACTAGCTCACAATAATTTCTAGTGTACATACGAGTAAATATATCGGACATTATTTTCCACATTTCACAGATCCTCTCTTAACTAGAAATTTTGGTTTATACTACAGATTTTTAAAAATACTATTATGAACCTGAACCGATATTTTTCAATTTGAAAAATTAGGTATTGATCATAGTAGTGTTTTCATAAGGATATTTATTTTTATTATATCCAACAAGCCCTTGTAACTATTTGTTTTGTTCTAGGTGCCGCGTGTGGAAATAATACCGGCTCGACATGCCGAGCTCGCGTCGCTCACTGCCGCAGTTTGCCGTACTTCTCGAGCCGACACTGTAACTTTAGCTTTACATTAGAATCGTGATTGTCTACATATAGCATAAATTATTTGGTAAATATATATAAATATATTATAGTATAAATCTTTATCTATTCGTTGTTTAAAATACAACAACACATATAATAATTCATTTAAAATTGGAACCAAGTGTACTTTTTTCATGGATGAAAATGGAGTGGTAAACCCGGTAAAAACTATACCTACTATTGTCTTCTTAGTATCTAATCAATAAACATTAAAGTAGGTATATGGGATTAAGTTCAAATTTAATTATGAATAAGACCAAACTACATTGGTATGATTAGGTTTATTACGGTGTTAAACGTAGGTACTTTTGAGTCAATTAATAAATCAAAATTTATCTTATTAACTCTCAAAAAAATTGACATGGGGAGGAATGCACCTACTTAAGTTATTCTTTATAACCTATCAATATGTTCCTGTGACGTGGACAAAGTGGGTACGACTAATAAGACTATTCCGCCCTGAAAATATAAGGCAACGACCGTGTGACCTAGTACGGTTGCCTTAGCAACATTCACTGAACATTTACCAAAGTATAGAAAACAACTATAGACAAACGTGGAATTAACTTATGTAGGTTAGGTTACTATCATCATTTAAATTTTTAAACATTATCGTATCTTGATTACGTCCACAAAATGAAACCGCCTGACATATATCTAATTACTGAGTTAATAATAACTACATATCCTTTAAATAAACCTCATAGACTCAACGCTAGAAACTATCATAGTTAATTTCTGGTGTATTGTTACGATAGGCCAACTAACTAACCTGATTTCATCTTCATCTGTCATCCTTCTCTAACATCCCACCAGTGTAAAAAAAAATACTAGGACATCCTACGAATATGACCTGCCGAAAGCTTTCAGAACAGAATAAAACAAAATTATTTTCTTTTTTATGGGGAAGCCTATGTTTAATAGTGGACAATAAAAGCTCCAAAAATATTGGTGATGAAAAGAAATCTTCTTGACATTTCCTCATTATTATCTCTTATGAAGAAACTGTGAAAACAGTTCATCTTCATTATCATCACCTTTAATCTGTATTGTTGTTTTATTAGTATTATAGTATATAATCGTGTATATTTATATTTGTATGTATGTTTTTATGATCATAATGTGCCGTAATTCTCTATTGTATGTGTTATATAATTTGTAATTCAATGTTGATACATCTATACCTGTTTATCTACAACAATTTTCAATGTTTTATCGCATATTACATTTCTATTTTGCCAAAAGTTGATTGCGAGAGAATCCTACATAGCACTAAGTCTGCCTTTTGTACCAAACCTTTTTATTGTAATAAATAATAAATTAATTAATATTTCTCCGTTAAGTGTCATCAGTTTTATAATTAACAAAAGCTCGTTGTTTGAGCAATTTTATATTGCAGAATACTACGTTGTATACCATATGTTATTAATTCCAAACATAAAGAAGTTTCAGAGAGCACATCGTGGGCGGTTGCAATTTGCAAGCACTCCCAATATAGCAATGACTCAATGAGTCGCTCGAGAACACAGCGACCCCCTTTCTACTCGCAAGGAGAGCCACAACAACATCTCCTAAATGGTTGCGAAATGTCCTGTAGTGTATTAAAAATGGAGTCTACATGAGTCTTTGTTATAATACCTACTTTACTAATTATGTTTTCATTATATTTATCTATAAATTGAGTGACAAGCTTCAATTATGTGAAGTCACTTTTACTAATACGACTCACAGATTTTTATACAACACGTAAGATTTTGTTTAGCCATTACATAACAGTAACCTGAATCGCGACAAAATAAATATAGGATCAATTATTAAAATGGAAATTATCAATATCGCAATATTCAGTTCGAAATTCGACAAGAAAACACGTAACGTTCTAAAATAGGTGCATGCAAAATAACAATCTTCTCTCTTTGGATGTCGTTTGAAAATATAAATTAATAAATAGTCCTCAGTAACCTATACTATGTAAGAAATGGATGATGAATGTTTAATGATTTCGGTCCAGTTTAGTGTCGCCTAGCGATGGAAGCCAAACACGTCCTAAATCTGTCGTCTGAACTCTAATTGCGATCAATATCAGTCTTTAAAAAGGCCATACCCAACTAGTGGTAGATGTGAACGAACAATATTGACAATTTAGGGATGGTATCTATAATGTTTCTAGATTTATTTTTCTCTAAACATATATATTGATAAGATATGAATCAATAAATAATACTTAACTATAATTTCAAATAATAGAAATGAGTAATAGAAAATCTGAATACATTTGCAATAATAGTAAAAGATTACGTTACGGTACCTCTGTTCTATTCGTGATTCTACCGTGAAGCAGTTGTATTTGCATGGCTGTGTTTCAGTTTGAAGGGTGGGATACGGCAGTAAATTGACAGGGAACAGAGGAAAACACCTTAGCCCTCAGGAATGGCAACGTATGAGAAGTATCATGGGTGAAACAGTATTTTAAATATCTGATCCATATCATTTTTACATATTACAGAGCACAGAGAAATTTAACACTCCAATGCTTAAATGGTTTGAAGTTACTGTGGGCGATATTATGAACTGTATGTTGATGTATTTGATGTAATAAAACAATGGGTTTATAGGAAAATAACTATAACAAAGAAAACTACGGAAGACAGACTACGATAGCGATAAAGAGCCAAGTGACAATTGCAAAAGCAAAAGTATAGAAATACAATAAAAATAAAATCTTCAAAATAAACTAAGGAGATCGCAACAGTTATCATTCACAATTTATTTTGATACAAGAAAAATACTTAGAAATTATAGGTACCTTACCGAAGGCACCATCTTCATGAAATTGTTTATCACATTTTTTTACAAATGAAAAAAAATATTCAAAACATAGCGAAACTTATCAGTTACTATGGTATACTGTTCGATCGGTGGATATAAAGGCATTGCTAGTTATTACATTGATAACCAACGCCTAAAGCTCTGATTACATGATTACAACGATCCGTAACGATTCCAAAGCCCTTATCCTTTATACCTAGAACAAACAGTTTTGTTGGATAAGTAAGTAGGTATATATATACCTATCTATTTCAATCAGTATGTAATATTGAATTTATAAATTCTCGAAATCTTTCAGAATAAGCGGAGCAAATGAGATGAATATGTGTAATACCTATACTATAGCTATATGATTCAGTGGCACTGAGGGTGATTCCACGAAGGCCGTGACATGATTGAACAAAAATATTCATGATTCAACTTTCCTTATTAGTACTTGATGTCATTGTACATAATTTTATTTATACTTAATTAAACATCTGCGGAACGTGTAAATACATAGCGTAAGTACCTACCTAAGTTATGTAAGTAGAAATTTCATTATTTTATTTCATAATGAAATTATTCTATTTCTCGCACAATAACTTTTATTCTGTTTTACTACATCTTTATTTACCTACATACGGCATTAAATTTCATAAGAAGAAAAGTGAAGGCATATGCTTAATAAAACGAATTTCTTTTTTAACTAAAAACATAATCATCTAGGTATTATACCTATCAACAACGTACTCAATAAGTTAACATTATAATAAAGTATACTAACGACTAAACTGCCTACTGATAATTATTTTACTTACTTACTTATCGAATCATTTACAAATATAGATGTTCAAGTCATGCAAATTGTCGTAACAATGTTAATTCTCTACACAAAGACTGCAATGTGCAACATCTGTTTAAATCCTGAGTCACAGCGAGAGCTTGTGATGATGAGTTGAATGCGCCTACTATATCGGAGTGATTACTCAGCCACATTTCTAAGTTATATGCATCATAAGAGTCAAATAATTCTGAATTCTTGGACCATTAGTCTTAAAGATCAGAATTGCCCACACATTTTGAATATTATATTTAGTTCTATAAATCAGAAAGCACTAAAATTGTAACAACATGCTTGTAATGCCTGCATCACTTTGTCCTGTTATTTCAGATTGTTATTTCACATTTTAAATTGAACTAGCGCTGCTATTACAATATTACAAAAGGCATGTGCTATGTCTCTCGTGCTATCTAT